AGGCGCCCATTTCCGCTGGTGTGGGCATCCCCCCTGCTGGAGGGAAGGCACCTTTTCTAGTGGCCATCTCCCCGCCTCTGAAGCTGGAGACCCTGGGCCCTTCTTCCAAGGCCATGCGGTGACTCCCACCCTGCCCCGTTTACCCTGGCCCCTGCATTACCCTTTTCAGCACCTACTGATGTGCAGCCCAGCCGGGTCCCTGGAGACGAACGGCCCCAAGTGTCCTCGCTGCCCCAGGTGACCTATAGTCAGGTGTTGTCGGCAGTCACTTGGTTTACAGGCAGGACAGGCACTTGTAGGAGATGTTCCTGAGTCCTCTGTCCCTCCCGCTTACTGAGGGAGCTTGTTAAATACTCGGCCTCCTCCACACTGGGGAGCAGGAGAGGGTCCTTGGTTTCATGGGTCCTCATGAGCAAGTGTCTCTGCATCCTCCTCCCTCTGGCTCTGTCCACCTGAAGGACACGTGGCCTTGACCCCTTCGCCTCTAGCTCCAGCCCCCTTCCTCCTGCTGGCCCAGGCCGCTTGATCCCACCCATCTGTAAAACGGGTACAGCACACGGGTGGGCACCCAAACAGGCACCATAGGGTGAGAGCTGCCGCAGGGAGGGGACCCCAAGTGACGCCAGCTGTTTGCAGTCTCTTGTCACATTAAAAGGAAGCACCCAGAACCATGGCTGGGACAGCTGGGTCTCTTTCTGGCTCCAGTCATGACTGGGCTGAGGGTGTGAATCTCCAGCCTCTGTTCACCCCGTGTAGACGGGAGTGAGCATCTCGCTGTGTGGAATAATTGGGTGGAGGGTGGCTCCTGGGCCCGGGTACCGCCAGGACCCCTGCTTCCGAGGAGCAGCCTGTGGAGAGAATGCAACAGGGGACTCCAGGGACCGCTGAGGGCACAGGGTGACAGAGGGGCTGGGAACCGGCCAGCGTGGGTAAGCCCCCGGCGCCGTCTCAGCTGAGCCGTGTGGCCCCCGCAGCTGGGGTCACCTTGCTGTTTGTGCAGGGTTGGTTTCTGGGGTCTGCTTACATGCAGTAAGGGCACAGGTAGCCGGCACCCTGTAAAAGTCGCCCTCCGATACCCCGGAGTCCCAGGTCTGGACACGGACTCCAGCCTTGACCCAGGGCCCCGCCCTCCCCTTGGTCTGTCGTGCGCCTCTAGGAGGCCACCTCCCCGCCGAGGCCAGGCTGCCGCCCGCATCTGCCAGTCCCACCCTTCCCGCCGCCCTCCTCTCCAGCCCTTCATCTGCCCGGCCTGCTCCGCACACACAGCAGCCGCTTAGGATAATCGCGTCAAATGTTGCCACCATCTGTTGCCTGACTTCCCGTCCGTCGCCTCCATCCGGGAACCTCCGGGACGCGTCTGTGGCCGTGAACCTGTCGCAGGACCTGTGACTCCTAGGAGGCCGCTGTCCGCTGGCCCCAGGATGCAACCCCAGTGTCCGGCGCCGTCGCACAGAGCCTCCTGCTGTCCGAGGAACTGCAGTGTGGCACCCGACCTGGGAAGCTCCTGCAGGTGACCCGGCCCCCACAGGGACACCCCCGGGTTTTACCTGGTCCTTTGCACTGTCCAGCGCCCTTGTGTGAGGGCTTCTGAGAGCGCCGCACCCCGTGTGTTTCTGCAGAATGTGGCCTACCTTGTGTTCCCAGCATGGTAGTAGGCAGGACTGCAGCTTTAAGGGTGTGGTGGGGCTCTGGCAGAACATGGGGTTCAGGGTGGCTGCTGGAGACCCCAGGCATTGCTTGGGAGCTGGCTCATTGCGGGTGGCTCCACGTGGTTTACTGGGTCCCTGGCGGGCAGCGTCTGGAGGCTCCTGCCGTGGCTCGGTGGATGAGGCGCTGGTCTGCGTGGGCCGGGCACTGCAGTGCTCATTTTCCTCCTGGGGCAGGAGCTCCGGGGGCTGCGCAGGCTGACCCTGCCCACCTGCCTGTGTTTTCCTGGCCCTTCTCGTTCCAAGTCAGGATCCAGGCCACCTGTGAGGGCTGCCCCTTGCCCTGGCCATGAGTGATAGCCCTGGCCAGTTCCTGGGGCATAGAGCTTGGGAAGCAAGTCCAGTGTGAGGACTCAGGGTAGCCTGGGGAGGCAGAAGCAGGCTTACCCCCATGCATCTGGAGCAAGAAGACCCCCCCCGCCGTCTCCCAGCCCCTCCCCTGCCTCCACCCCCAAGAAAAATTGCTTTGTGTAAGTGCGCTGGGAATGCGTGGAGGGCAGATATGATAATGAATTGATGATGAAGCCGCCCAGGCTCTCGGGGTCACGTGGTGCCCAGGCAGCCTCAGCCGCCAGGGTCTGTCGTAGGGTGACCCGTCCTCCTCAGGGCCACCTTAAGCTTTTCCCTTTTGGGGGAGCGGGGATCACGGGGGTGGGCACCGGTCCCTGAGCTGGGGGACGCCCTTTATTTGTTCACAAACATTTCTTTCTGCGGTAATGAAAAATTACCAAGAGGGGTGATTAGAGAACCCAGGTCCAGATTGTACATGCGGGCCCTGAAAGTGAAGCCCTGCTGGGCCCAGCCCCATGGGCTGTAATTACCCCACGGGGGGCTGTCAGGGGGAAGGGGCGGATTGGTGCTTGAACCGGGACCCAGCAGAAAATTCATCTCAGCTATTAGCTTGTAATTACAGAGCACGGAGGGAGCAGGCCTGAGGTCTGGTGCCGGGGAAGAGCAGGGATGAAAGGAAGCAGTAATTATAGGATCCGCGGGAGGCCGGGAGGGCGGCTGGCACGCTGATTAATAAGCCCTCCACCCTCGAGGGGAGGGGGAGCGAGGGTTGGGACACCATCTTTAATGGAGTAGAGAGGCCTTACCCCCTCTTTGAAATCCTGCTGTCGAGCCTTTGGACAGCAGGCAAGCCCATTTGGGGTCTGTTCTGAAGAACCAGGAACAAGCTGGGCTCCCCGGGCCAGCCAGCCGAGCCCCTCTCCACTGGGACTTTGCTTCCTTTTTTTCTTGCCTTTTTTTTTTTAATAGCATTGTGCTGCTTCTGACTGTATTAGAAAGCTAGGCAGAGAATAGGAGAAAAAGCATTGATTAAAGTGGTGCTTTGTTGCAGGACGGGGAGGGCAGGAGACCTCGCCCCAAGGGCGGTGGTCTTTGCTTCCCCAGACCCTCCCTGTCCGTGAAATGTGGGGTTGAGGGGTTTGGGGTGCTGTGGCTGCCTGCTTCACTCTCGGTTTCCTGCCCTCTGGCTTCTGGGAGAAGCCTCTAGGTTCTCAGCTCTGCCAGGCAGACTGTGTAGACCCGGTGGGTTCTTTCTGGAGGGGTTCAGGGAGCAGACAGTTGGGGCTCACGTGAAGAGGGGTCTGTCCCCGGGATCCTTGGTTTAAGGGTGCCGAGGGGCCATTAGGGGTATGGATGTGGCAGCTTTTTTTTCCTGGGATGCGGGGGAAGCAAAGGTGGCAGCTGACAGTGGCTTGAAGGGGTCTGTCCAGAGTAGCAAGTGATGTGAATAAGAGGTTGGGCGTGGGTGGGGGCCTCGCAGATACGGTCCACCTAGACCCCTGGCTCGTTTTCGCCTGCTGAGCTGCACATGTCAAGAGCGCTTGTACAGTGTGGAGACAGCCCCCAGCCCCCCGGTACTCATCCATCACAGGCCTTCACACGATGGAGCTTATTCCCAGCTGTTAGGATAATGAATTTACATGAGCTGATAATGTAGACAAGAATTCAGTCAATGTCCAGGAGCGCAGAAGTTAATAAATACCTTTCTAATGAGGGCAGCAGGTGGTACGCTCTCCCAGGGCCTCCCTCTCCCCTCTGCCTGGCTGCCCCTGGGTCCCCCACGGGCACCTTGGCACCTGCCCTGGCCTCAGCCAGAGAACACCTGTGTGGGGTGACGCCCGCATCTGCCTCCCTGGAGAGGGCTGGGGGCTTTGTGCCGAGGCCTGGGTGGCAGCAGCCTTGAAGTGACCCCACCAGGCCGGTGACAGAGGGGCTGGAGGCAGGTGGGCCCTGGAGGCCGTGTCCATTCGCAGCAGGCCCAAGGGGACCCCTCCAAGGATCTCTGGGTTCCCAAGTGCTTGGCCTCCGGTCCTGGCCTCGAGGAAGCTGCCTCCCGCCGACGCAGCCCCTGCCCCGCCTGCCCAGTGCACACATACTGAGTAGCAGTGCTAATTTTAGATTCCTCTAATGAAGCCGCTCATTTGGAATTCTATTTTAAGTGACCTGACATCAGCAGAGCTGCTTCCCAGGCTCCCAGCTCCTTGGGAGCCTGCAGCTGACACCAGGCAGGGATGCTGCCTGCAGGGGACCCCCAGGGACCCAGGGAGACCGTACCTGGGCCTGGAGGGGACCTGCAGGGCCCGGGGAGCAGGTATTGGGCTTGTGTCAGAGGCTGGGGTAAGGAGGTTGCTGTCAGGATGCCAACAGGCTGGTGATAGTGACACTGAGGTAGCCTCAGACCTGGGCATGGAGGGAGCCCGCAGGGGGCCTCCCTGGTCACCAGGGAAGGGCTCGGAGCTGTGGGTGAGGGCTGAGGTTCAGACCCCTGCGGGGACACCCCAGTTCCCTCCACTCCTGCCCTGGGGCTGGATAGCCCCATGCTTTTGTGGGCGGTGCTGACTTCCTGCGTTGAGCTGCCATCCCTTTGAACAGCCCCTTTTTAAAACCCTGGTTCACTGCAGAGGAATGAGAACATAAAGAGAGAGAAGAACGGCGAAAGGGAAAAACACAGCTCCTCTTCGGGCTGTCTCGGTACACTGCCGGTAGCCTTGAGGTGTGTGCACCATTTAGGGTCCGGCCTGGGGTTCGTGCCGTGGCCTCGCCTGTGTGCCACTGATAGGGTTAGGATGTGTCTCATGGAAAGTGACCTCCAGTGTTGGAGGCAGGGCCTGGTGGCAGGGATTGGATCGGGGGGGTTGGATCTCATGACGGGGTCATCCACGTCACCTTTGCCATCAAACTCTGATGGTCCAGGAGACATAACACTTCTTCCCATGAGCCTCACCAGGTCTGGGTGTTGAAAAGCCAGGGATCCTCCCACTCTGGCTCCATCTTACGCCGCCGGATGTGCCGGCTCCCCTTGCCTTTTGCCATGATGGGAAGCTTCCCGAGGCCTTCCCAGAGGCAGATGCCAGCACTGTTTCTAGTACACCCCATAGAGCCAGGAGCCAGAACAAGCCTTTTCTTTATGAATTACATAGCCCCAGGTATTTCTTTACAGCAGCACAAACAGCCTCGTCCAGCCACCCAGCCCATGCCCAGTGGTCACAGCACATCTGCCTGGGTCGCCAGCCAGCCTGTCCTGAAGGCCTGGGGACAGAATTGGCATCTGCTCCCAGACCTCCAGAGCATGTCACCTGGAGGTGAAACGACCGTACGTTGTCCCATGTCCCCCGTCTTCTATGACAGCATGTGGTATGGTCCACACAGCATCCCAGCCCGCCGCGGATATCCACCCCTCCTGCAGCCCGGGAGCAGGTCTGGAGCTGGGCCCTGGCTGGCTTGTCGCACGGGCACTGTGCTGAGGTCATCTCAGCCCTGCTCTGTTCTGGTTCTGGGATCTGAGGCTGCCTTTGCCCATCTGGGAAAATGGGCCCAGTCACACCTCTCTCACAGGGCGCCCAAGATGTAGAGTGCCTGGCTCTCTGAGGAGTATGGGAAAGGGGGGTTGCTGATGGGCTCTGGCACTGCAGGGTCGTGTTTTGGAGACTCTGGGTGAAGATGCAGAGTATCTGTGTGCAGATAGTTGCCCTTGGCTTTGTGATGGATTGCAGGGACATCCTTGATGAGGAGAGGGTGTGGAGACACTGACCGTATCAGTTATCTAGAATTGTGTAACCCACCGTCTGCAACTCAGTGGCTTAACAAAACCTTTGTTAGCTCTGTTTCTGTGGGCCAGGAGTTGGAGGGTGGCTTAGCTGGGTGGTTCCGTCTCAGGGTGTGTGACGACCACGTTGGCTGGGGCTGCAGTCTCATCAGAAGGCCAGCCTGGGGCTGGACGATTCATTGCCAAAGTGGCTTCTCACATGGCTGTTGGCCGGAGGCCTTGGTTCCTTGAAATGTGGGTTTCTCCACGACCTGCTTGAGCATCCTCGTGACGTGGCGGCTGCCCCTGCTCCACTGGAGTGACCCAGGAGGGCCAGGAGAGGGCTACAGTGTGTTTGGCGATCTTGCCTTGGCAGCTGCAGACTGTCGCTTCCACTATACTCTGTTCATCAGAAATGAGTTACACAGTCGGGCCCGTGCTCGGGAAAGGGAGTTAGTCTCTACCTCCTGAAAGTGTGATCGATGAAGACTTTCTAGACGTCGTTTTTATTTTTTCAGTGACAGTTGTGTCGCGCAGGCTAGAGTATAGTGGTATGATCATAGCCCATTGTAGCTCCATCTCCTGGGCTCAAATAATCTTCCCAAACACCTGGGGCTACAGGTACGCACCTGTAGTTGCAGGGTGATTTATAGAGACCGGGTCTGTCTATGTTGCCCAGGCTGGTTTTGAACTCCTGACCTCACACAGTCCTCCCACCGTACCCTCCTACTTAGCTGGGATTACAGGTGTGAGCCGCCATGCCCAGGATGAATGTGTTTAGGCATTACAGTCCAGTATGTCTTAGCTGTGTGTGTGTGTGTGTGTGTGTGTGTGTGTGTGTGTGTGTGTGTGTGTGTGTGTATACGTGTGCATGTGACCATTCACGCCTTCTGATCACATGCCCTGGTTGGGCCATGGAGTGGGCAGGCGCTGGTAGTGAGCCGTGGGGACCCGGGAAGCCGGGTTCCAGTCCTGGACATGCTGCTCAGCTAACTGACCTTGGACCAAGCTTAGGTCATCTGCCCTCAGTTTCCCCATCTGCACTCGAGGGTTCCTGGGCTTGGGTGCTGGCTGTGAGGGGTGGGACGCAGGCTGGGATGGTGGATGACAGCACGGCTGCCGTGGGCTCTCTTGAGCTCATGGTAAGGCTGTCTTGGGAGGTCCCCCACTGGTCTGTGACTTCTGAGAGCTGCTGCTGTTTCCCTGGAGGTGGTGTCCCCGCGGCCCTGCTCCTGTCTTCCAGGCAGCCCTCTGGACTCGCCACCTTCCTGAGCACCTCATTGGGACCACCAGGACCTGGTTCATTGATGTCCTCCTGGGTCCCCTTGAGGGTGGGGCTTGGTCTTGTGCCACTTAGTCTTTCTAGACATTCCCTCATAAACACCCTGCAGCCTCCTGCATGTGAAGCTGAGTGTGCTTTGGTGACAGGTGGGACCTGGAGGTCCTCTGGACTGGCCTTCGGCAGCCTCCCTATGGGCCACGTCCACTAGTGTCCCCTGCAGGCAGCAGGACGAGAACTCTGTTCTTCCCCAGCCACCACCCTTTTGGGGTCACAGGCTGGCCCTCTGCAGGAGGTGTGTGGGCTCATGGGCCCAGGGCAGGGGGCTCGTGGGCAGGGTACCCACCAGCTGGATGCCCTGTGCCCTCCTGGTTGCGGCTCCAGCCCCCGGGTGGGGAGGAGCAGCACAGACCCAGAGTGTGGGTGCCATTTGCTGGGACATCTGCCTGCCCTTGGCTGGACCCCCGCCTGCTGGGACTGGCGTCTGTCGTCCCTGGAGTGCTGTTTGGTAACAGCCCTGGGGCGCCCCACAGACTCTGAAGCCCCTTGCGTCAGTTACCCCGTTATGCTCGGGGGAGTGACCTCACGAGGTCGGCTTTGCTGTGCTGTTACCCCGTTAGGTAGATGAAGGGAGTCAGGCCGTGAGGAGTGAAGTAACTCACCCAGGGTTGTTCAGCCAGAAGCAGCAGAGCCCGGGTCTGACCCACAGATGTGTTTCCCTCCCTCCATCTCTGTGCACGGGGAGAAGCGCTGACAGCAGACCACTGCGGGGGACAAGCGGGGGCCAGGCCAGCCTCTGGGGCAGTGCAGCTGGCGGTGTGGAGCAGAGCAGCTGGCAGGGGCCAGGCTGGCTGAGGAAGGGCTCTAGCTGGCAGCCCATGTTTTTTGGAAGTCAGGCTGCTGGGTAGGCGCCCTTGCTCTCCTGCGTGGTTGGGTGTCTGTGCCAGGTTGAAGTGGCCTTGGAAAGGCAGTTCGGGGTGTGCAGGTCCCCCCTCCACCCTTGACCCCTCCAGAAAAAGCCGAGGAGGACAGGCTAGGGTTGGCCCTCTGGCCCGGTAGGGCCCGCTGCCGCAGGGCATGGCCACGCCGCCTTGTGACTGCTGGCAGCTGGGCAGCGCAGGGCTCTAAGGGTCCTTTGTTCTTGAGGTGTGAGCTTGCTCCCGCCTCGCTGATCTCTCATTGGCAGGCCCACTCACAGTCATTGTCCCCGGTCCCCCCCTCAGAGCCCCCAAAGAGTTATTTTCCCCTGCAGCCCCTCTGTCAGGAGCGGAGGGACTTGGCTCCCTGAACACACGCCCAGAGCACGTGGCCTTTGGCGGCAAGTTCTGGGTGTAGCAGGTGGACAAAGGAGGCCTCCAGGGTCCTCCGCATGCTGCGCCCAGCCCGCAGCCCACAGCCCACGCCAGCAGGTTCCAGCCAGACTTGTCAGTGCAACTTAGAATCTGGGAGATGTGAGGTGGGGTCTGGAGGCCAGGGCAGCCCCTTGAGGGTGGGCCCACAGCCCGAGGAGGGAGCCTGGGGGCTCCCTTGCCCTTTCCCCTTAGGAAGCGCACAGTCTACCCCTCTTGTGTTGCGTGTCCCCCCCCCCCCACCATGATCTCTGAGATGCCAGCCCACTGTGTGTGGTCCTGGCGCCCCTCCCCTGAGATGGGTCCACAAGGAGGGAGCCGGGACCTGGCCTGTGGGTGATGTGGGGATCGGGGGGCGTCTCATGTTGTTGGAAAACATTTTGACCAGGTTGGACTTTCATTGGTTGCACACACGGGGTGGGAGGACTGAGGGCATGTTTGGAGGTGGCCATGCCCTTCCCCTAGTGGTTTTGATGTCACTCGGATGGCTGCACCTGGGCTCAGACCTCTTCCTGCTGCCGCTGTGGCTGCCACCCCCCACCAGGAGGGCCCGGTCAACTGTCGCTGGGCCAGGTCGGCCTGAAGTTGGCCCGGGAGGAAAGGGAGGGTTCCACGCTGGACGGCGGTTTGGATTTGCGGCTGTTTTCAGCCCCTCACGGCAGGCCCTGTGTCCAGCAAGGGGCTACAGTGGGGTCTTCAGGGCGGCTGTGTTCTTCCCCGGCGCTCCTTGTCAGCCTGCCTTTGTGGCCCGAACTCTGGGACCTGTCTCAGACAGAGATGCACAGGATCCCTGGGTGGCGGGAGGCCAGGGGTCTGTGCTGAGCGCCCGTGCAGACTGGGCCAAGCTGGGGCCTCGGTTTCCTTTTCTGTAAGGTGGGGCAGCGCTGGCACCAGCCTCCCGAGGGCACTGCCATGCATGCCTGGCACTGTGTACACGTTGTGTCGGTGGCCACAGCAGTTGTCTTGGTTGCTGTCGTCCCTGGGCCTTCTGCCAGTGTGCTTCTGTCCTGAGGTGCGGCCGACGCCCCCTCACCCTGGGCCCCTCTCCTTCCCTGCACCCTTTGGTGGCTGGGGATCTGTCGGTTGATACATGGGATCCTCCACAGCCTGCCCAGCCTGGACTGCCTGGAGAGGTAGAGGGCGGTGCTGGCCCGAGCCATTCAGAATCGGGTTCTGAGGGCCCCTGGGGTCTGTGCCAGGTCCCAACTGGACTGTGGGGACGGGGTCTGTTCTCTCTGCAGCACTGGCTCTGTCTGCTCTTGCTTGGCTTGCTGGAGCCCCTGGGGCGCCCCTGCTCCCTGCATGCTGCTGCTGACACCGGCTCCCCCACCGGCCCTGCCGACCCTGCTCTGGTGTTGGGCGCTCCTGCTCTCTGGGTGACCTCTGGTTCTTCTTTTCCTGTTTCAGGCATGAGCCATGAGCCCAAGTCCCCTTCGCTAGGGATGCTTTCCACCGCGACCAGGACCACCGCCACCGTCAACCCCCTCACCCCCTCGCCGCTCAATGGCGCCCTGGTGCCCAGCGGCAGCCCCGCCACCAGCAGCGCGCTGTCGGCCCAGGCCGCGCCGTCTTCCAGCTTTGCCGCCGCGCTGCGCAAGCTCGCCAAACAGGCGGAGGAGCCCAGAGGTAAGGGGGCCCGCCAGGCTGCGTGGGGGAGCGGCGGCTCCCGAGGCGGGGACTCGGCTTCCCGCGCGCTGTGCACGTGCACGCTCATAGCACGTCTCGTTTTCCCACGCCGTGCGCTCCGCGTGAAGCAGGCGGCACTGTCGGAGCTGCAGACCGTGGGCCCCACCGCCCCAGCCGCTTCTCCTCTGCTTCCCGTCTCTCCTGCCTCTGTCCTTCCTCGGCCCCCAGAGCCATTGCAGGGGTTCCCGGCCATAGCCAGGTGTTTCTGCCAGCCCAGTGGCTCAGTCAGGAGGGTGGGTGCCATGACCAGGGCAGCCCCAAGAGGCTCCAGAGGGAGAGCTGCTCCCCGAGTGGCCCCTTGCTTAGGCTTCAACACCCGCTCCAGACATGGCAGAGGACATGGCGTCCCTGGAAACACAGTGGTTTGGAGCGGGGGTCTCTGGCACAGCGGACCCTACCACTGTTTAACACCAGGGGGCGCGGATGGGGGCCTCCGGGGGTCCTGAGCTTGGCTCCTGGTGTCACCAGGACGAGACGTGCTGTGTGCCTTGGGCAAGTGCTGACCCTCTGAGCTCCATTTACTTGGTCTGTCCAGTGAGGCTCTAGAGAGGCCTCCGTTGGTTCTGACTTTGGGACGCTTTTTGGGGCCCATTATCACCATTGGCTGCCTGTGCCCAGGCTGCTACTGGCATGAATGGGAGGGGCAGTGGGCGGCTGGAGCTGCGGGGGGCCTTGGCGCTGTGGCTTCTGGCCAGGCCTCGGACACCCTCTGGCCTCACTGCTCATGGGCAGAGGCCTGCTGAAGCAGGGACCCCAGTGGCTCTGCCTATCACCTGCTTCATTCCCCTCAAAGGCCCAAGGGTTAGGATCCTGGTTCCAGGGCCCTCCTGAGCAGCCAGAGAGCAGCATGTACAGGAGTGGTGTCTGTCTTTACATGCTGGGGTTCCAGCTTGGCAGAGGGGACACTTGCCCTGACCAGGGCGGGCTGGGGGTCTCCTCCTTTCTGAACGTCTGCTTCCCAGGTCCTTTCTGCCTCTGCTCATTGGAGACCAGGGAGTGAAAGAGGACAAACCTGGCACTGAAGGGTGGGGGCACTGGCCCAGAAGGGAGGCCAGGTGGGGCCTGGGTTCTCTACCACCAGGGCGCACCCCCTTGCCTCCTGGCTCCTCTTGTTGAACCAGGCTTAGCTGGGACCACCAGAAAACCCTCCACGTCTGGGGCAGGGGACCCCCTGGCCATGCCTGAGCAGCCGGGCTGCACGGGCCCCACCTGTGTTAAGAGGCTGGGCAGCTGCAGGCAGATGGCTCAGGGGAAGCAGGCACCCTGCCTGGTGCCCCCTGGCATCCTGGGCTTTCTGAGGTGGTGAACAAGGCAGCTGAGGTTATACCCCGGGAGGACGTTGACCTTGGAGTTGAGACTCAGGCTCTCCTGAGAGGGGCGGAGGGAAGGGAGGGACGGCTGAGAAGTGAGGGCAGAGCTGGCCCAGCCCCTCCTGCTCTGGTTGTCTTTTTTCTCAGCGTTTCGGGGCAGGAGAACCAGGGCTGGCGCGGGATTTCCGAGGCCACGCGTGACACGTGGCTGGCGCTGGTGCTGCTGGGTCCAGGTTAGCCCTGCATCCTGGCTTCAGCCAGCAGCTGTGTCCGCTTTGGGGCCTCTGGGCTCTACCCTGGGTAACGCTGCAGGGGACGAGGTCAGGAAAGGGCAGGTTTCCCTGCCTGCCAAGGAACGTGGTGGAGAGGCGTTCAGACTCAGCTTCCCTCCGTGGGCCCCGCACGTCACGGGCGTCACAGCAGGATCCTGCCTCGTGGGGCCTCCTCTCTGCTGCCCCAGCCTGGCCCCAGCACTTGGCTTGATTGCTTGGCCAGCGGGCGGCCTGAGTGCCAGAGGCCGCTGGTCCCCACTGGCCGGGAACAAAGTGTGCTGCTGGGCGCCCATGGCGGGAGGCCAGACACCATGGCCTCGGGGCCCGTCCCCTCCCAGCTGTGGCTTGGGCACTGGGAAAAGGCTCTGGGAAGGATCCCCCAGGATGGATGCCTGGAACTGGGTGGCACAGGGTCTCGGGAGGGCAGGCGAGCGGTGCTGCTGCCTGAGCCTGTGCCTGCCAGGGCACTCACGCAGGTCACCTCCTGTTGAACCGGGAAGCTGAGATGTGTGGGGCTCGGGGTCTGCAGATGTGCAGCAGTGTTTGCGGCTGGGCCCTTGGTGCCCCCCGCCGTCTTGATGAGTCTCCATCTGGTCAACCCAGGTCCGGCCTTGGTCTGGATGAGGAGGGACCGGGTTACTCCCCCTCGTGACCTCAGCCCCTTAGTGCACCTGGTCCCCGTTCTCATGGAGTTGATCCGACCCTGACCTCACCTTTCCCCGTCTGTGGAACTGGCCGGCAGCTGTCCCGGGCCCCTCGTGCAGGTGCAGAGGCCAAGGTTCAGAGGTCAAGTCGCAAGACAGTGGCCACCGAGGGTAGGGTCATGCCGGTGTCCTGCTCCTGCTGGGCCTTCCCGGGTGGGCTGGGACAGCTGTCTGTAGGAGGACAGTTCTGAGCAGGGGGTCCTGGTGGTCCCTGCTGGAGAGGAAGCCCCCCTTACCCCTAGCAACACTGCTGTTGTGCAGGGAGCTGGCGTTGGGCGCACCAAAGAGTCTCTGGCCGTCAGCACGTTAACCCTGCCTTCCTGGGGGTGTGGAATCCTGGGTGACTGCAGGGACGTGTGGGGCCCGCTCCCTGTGCGCCCAACTCCCTGTGGCACCTCTCCACCTGCACCAGAGGGCAGCAGGGAGAATCCTCAGTGGACTTGGCAGTGGGGAGGGGTCTGGATTTTTTATTTAAAATTTTTTTAGTTATAATTCACATGGCATAAAATTCACCCCGTAGAAGTGCGTGATTCGGTGATTTTCGTGCACAGTTGTGCAACCGTCAGCTCTCTCAATTCTAGAACGTTCGGGTCACCCTTGAGAGTAGAACCTCAGCTGCATTTGCCAGCATCCCCCACGCCCTCCCCCAGCCCCTGGCGGCTGGTCTTTCTGCCTCTGTAGACGGGTCTGTTCTGGGCGTTTGGTACACGTGGGCTGCCTAGGTGTGTGTCTGGGCTCCTTTGAGTGTGATGTCTCCTGGTCCTCGTGGGTCGTCTGCGGCATTGACAGCCCTTACCGCCTCTCCTGGCTGGGCAGCCCCGGCTGGGGAGAGCTGGGTGGGGCCGAGAACCTGAAGCTGCCTTTCTGCTGCATCCTGGGGGTGGACCAGCTAGGGCCTCCCACGTTCCTCACACAGTGGCTGTGTGTTGTGCGCCTGCTGTGCACCTGGCACACTTACTGTGATACTAACACAACCCTTGCCTCTGGTGGATGGGAACTGAGCCTCCGGCATGCCCAGGTCCCGCATTGTAAGTGGCGTGGGGAATTCCAACCCCCAACTTGTGCCTGAGACTCCATAGCCTCCTCCCCGCCATTGCAGAAAGGGAGGCTGGGCCTCTGAAAGCCACGCCTCCCAGGGAGCTGCGTCCCTCTGGTGTCTGCTAGGTGCTCAAGAGGGCACCAAGCCCCTGCAGGCTAGCAGCTGAGCGGGTCAGCTCACAGGCCTGCAGCCAGGGCCACCTCCTGGCGACGGCACATCCTGGGCAGGGGGCAGGGATGGAAGCAGGGCAGCTCCCAGAGCTGCGGGGGTGGTGGCAGGGCTGGTGGCACCCAGGGAACCGCAGAGGCTGTGCAGCCCCACGCGGCCCCTCCTCGGGGGTGCCCTTGGCCCCGCCCGCTGCAGCCTCCTCACCTGCCTGAGCGTCCTCTCCAGCATGCGCCCGACTTCAGAAAGTGCCTCTCGTTTTTCACCATCGGACCGCGATTGCCCGCGCTTCTCTCCTCATCGTGTCTCAAGGGTGCAGTTTAAAAATTCAATTCAGACCAAGCCATGGCATGTGTCGCCCGGGAGAAAGGTTTGGAAAGGGAGGAAGAGGAGGCCCGCCGCTGGGATTTATTTTTCTGGTGGCGCCGAGACGTGTTTTCACCTTCAAAGCTCAGTCGCCCGCCCACTAGCGCAGGGCCAGATGTCCATCCCCAGGGCCAGCCTGACCCTTCAACCTACGCTGTCCCGAGGCTGAGGCTTCTGGGGTAGGGGGGGACCCCTGGGAATTGCTGACGCACACCCCTGACACCTTCCTTGCTGTGTGATCCGGGAAGGCCGCTTCACCTCTCTGAGCTTCTGGTTTTTCTTGGGTGAGGAGCAGGTCTCTACCTCGTGAATCGTGAGGACTGAGTAGGAATGTGCTCAGCTGGGCACGTGAGTGGTGGGAGCGTAAATGCAGTCCTCCACCCTAGCCCTGCCCCCGCCTCCCCTTTCCTGTCCCCCACCCTAACGCTGCCCCGTCACCTTCATCATCCCTGCCACGCCCCCCTCCCCCGCACCCTGCCCCACCCCTCCCTGCACTCCCAGACCTGCCCCTGCGACCCTCATCATCTGCCCCGGAAGGCGTGTGGGTGGGGTTGGAAGGTGTGTGTCCGCCGAGGCTTCCCTCTGATGGCCCTGGGCAGTGTCTGCAGTGGTGCGGGGTGCAGGCAGGCCCGGTGGCTGCCTGTTGACTTTTTGGGTGGAAGTGGGGCTAGGAGTACCCAAGGCCCACGAGGTGCATTCTGGAAGGAGCCTTGGGCTGCAGGTTTGGGTGTGAGCCCTAGCTGATGCTGGGTTGCACCCCCGGCCCCTTCCCAGCAACCGGCCAGGGTTCCGGCCTGAGCCCAGGCGTCCCTGACCCTGTTCCGCCCTGGTGGCTCTTGGTCTTTTTGTTTGTCCACATTGCCGCAGCCACCAGTGGATGTCTCTGGGGCAGCCCGGCCCTCCCCGCCTCCCTCCCTCCCCCCCACGCTGCTGCGACATCTCCCGCTGTAGCGCAGGCTCCTCGGATGCAAGCTGGGCCCTCTCCGCTCCTGGGAATGACGGCCTGGCCACCGCCTCCCTCCCTGCCTCGCTTACCAGGACCTCTTCTCACAGAGACCTGACCACCCCCATAGATATCTGAAACCCAGCCTAGGAGTCCCAAGACTGGAGGGTGTGTCCCAGCCGTGGGCCCCCCAGCCCTCTGTCGTCCCCCCCCCCGCCCTGGACAGCGTTGGACCCCCTCTGAGCCTCGCGGGTGCCAGGCCTAGCCTGCCTGGCAGGAGTTTCAGGATCCCACATCATCCCTTATACTTGGAGATGCTTGTTGCCCTGAGGGTGCCCCAGGGACACCTGTGCCTGGAGCAAGGCCTTGTGCCACGCACCCCCAGCCCCACACCCTGAAGGCAGCCCTGAGCCACGCAGGGGGTCTGCCAGCTGTCGGGCCTGCCCCAGAACTGTCCGGGCTGGGGGCTGCCTGGTGGCTCTGGCCCTTCCCCTGTGGCCCCTGCGGAGGACAGGCCTTGGAGCCCCCACCGCCGCCCCCACGGGCGTGCAGTGAAGCCAAGGCTGCTGCCAGGCGCCCTCGCAAGCTGTGTGGCATCTGCTTGCCGTGCGCAGCAGCCAGCAGCCTCCCACGGGGAAGGAGCGCCCGTCTGCCGAGGCGGCGGGGGGCGGAGGTATCGGGAGCCTCGAGTGTCCTCAGCTGCTCCAGGAGGCACAGGCAGCACCTGGGGCCGGGCACCTCTCCCTGGGAAACAGTGAAGGGTGACCATGCTGCCGGCCTTTGCCCCGGGAACAGAGTGGTGCCGCCGCCTTCCCAGCTGGGCCGGGAGAGAGCCGCCGTCTGGAGGACGGTTCTGAGCAGGTGGTCCTGGCTGGAGAGGAAGCCCCGCCTTGCCTCTAGAGGCACCCGTGGTGCAGGGAGCTGGGACTGGGTGCACAAAGGGCTGAGCTTGTTCCCACCCTTCCTTGTTGTCACCAGCCTAGTAGCCAGGACTCATGGCTTTCCCGCCCACACTTTGCTCCCTTAACTCCAGCCAGGGGGCTTGTGGTGCCCGCCCTGGAAGTGGCCCTGGGCCTCTCCAAGCAAGTGTGGCCCAGCCACCCACAGCCCGGCTTGGGGCACAGAACAGGGTTGAGGGGCGTGGCGGTGGAGCTGGAACTGCTCTCTTGTCATCGAGGCCCAAGGGGCCCGGCGGTGTCTGCTGGCTGCCTGCCTCGTCTTGTCACTGGTTTTGCAGGCAAGAGGAGTGGCAGGTGTGGTTATTGTTCGGTCCCTGGTGCCACCGGAAACCCAGCTCCTGCCCGAGTGAGCAGGGAGCGTGGAGCCTTCCCGTGAGCTGCCGTGGGTGCGATTCCGCCGTGGAGCCAGCCTAGGCGGGGGAGAGGCTCCCCTTTCTGCCGCTGCCTTGGAAATCTGCCTCTCAAAGAAAACAGTAAAACAAACACGGAGGAAGGATCCCGCCTGGCAGGCGGGCCTCGCGTGGGTGTCAGTCTGCGGCAGCGGCTCTGCAGGCGTCTGGAGCCCGTCTGTCTCCAGCGCAGGTGTGAGCGCCTCGGCGTCCTGTCCTCACGCTGCCCCTGCGTGCTCCTGGCTGGGATAAGGAGGGGCAGGGGAGTCTAGAGCCAGGGGAGCAATGCCCACGGAGAAGACCTCACAACCTATCCTGGCCCCTTCTCTGCATAGCAGAGAGGGGAGCGTGGGCAGGGTGGTGGGGCCCAGGACTTGGCGTGTCAGCCGACGGGGCCTCCCCAGCCACCCCACCCCTGTCTTCCTCCTCACCCCAACACCCCGCCTCCCTCAGGGCTCCCTTCTCAGCTCCTTTGGCCCCATGTGGACCCTCCCGGCCCCAGGAAAATACATTTCCAACGAGGAACCCACACCTCCCATAGAAACAACCCACACCTTCCGTTGTCAGTTTGGGTTTGGTGACTGTGGCACAGCGTGGCCAGGTGGTCACAGGAGCCCACCGCTGGCCAGCCGCCCCGCACGCTTTGTGGTTGTGAGGTGGGGCCTTGTGGGTGGACGCAGCCTGCAGGTTGGGAGGCCCCCATCCTGGGAGCCTCGTAGGGCGGCCACTGCTCCTTCGTCTGGCCATTTCACCCTGAAATGCAGGGGTCGCGGCTGTGACTTCAGCCCTGCACTTGTGGTGTGCCCACCGTCCTGTGTGCCGGGGCGTCAGTGATTCCAGAAGGCTTCCCCACCTGTTCTCGTCACCTGTGTGACGGGGGCTCGACCTTCTGGACCCGGATGATTCCCTGTGGGCAGGGGGCTGACTGGCTCGTTCCTTTGGGGTCTGCCGGGTAGATGTCAAGGAAGGCGGCTGGGTGACTCAGTCCCTGTCCCACTCACTGGCTGGTGGCTCCTGTGGACCCACTGGGCCGCCTCCAGCCGGGCTTCTTTCCACATCCACGTCAGGACGAGTCCTCCAGGGCCGAGTTCCCAGGTTTCGGATGGAAACAGGTTGGCAGGTGAGGGCAGAGAGTGGAGGAGGAGCCCTGAGAGGCGTAGGTTCTGTGGGCCCACCCCTCCCTCCCGGCTGTTCAGCCCACACCGGCCGAGGGCCCAGCTGGTAGAATGAGGCCTGGGAGGCTGTCGGCATCACCGTGGGTGTGGCTGTTCCACAGTCATGGCACATGATACACCAAGGCTCCTGCTGGGTAGCCTCTGCTCAGAGGCTGCTTAAAGGTTGAGCTAAGGGCTGAGCCTGGTGCTACATGCCTGTAGTCCCAGCTTCTCGGAGGCTGAGGCAGGAGGATCACTTGAGCCCTGGAGGTCGAGGCTGCAGTGAGTCACGATCACAGCAGTGCATTCCAGCCTGGGTGACAGAGAGAGACCCTGCCTCTAAAAATATTTTTTAATTAAAAAAAAAAAAACTAGGCTGGGCTCAGTGGCTCATGCCTTTGGGAGGCTGAGGCGAGTGGATCACAAGGTCAGGAGTCTGAGACCATCCTGGCCAACACGGTGAAAACACGTCTCTAATAAAAATAGAAAAATAGGCTGGGTGTGGTGGCATGTACCTGTAATCCCAGCTACTGGGGAGGCTGAAGCAGGAGAATCACTTGAATTGGGAGGTGGAGGTTGCAGTGAGCCGAGATCAAGCCACTGTACTCCAGCTTGGTGACGGAGCGAGACTCTGTCTCAAAAAAATTTGAATACTGACTTGGGGACAGAACAGAAGACGGGAGGGAAGAGCCCCCAGGTGAGTGGACACACAGGATCCCCTGGGCTCCCTACCTGGCCGGCACCTGCCCCCGAATGGTTGACAAGCAGGAGGCAAAGTGCAGCTGGCGACCCTCCTTCTACGGGGCTGATACGGAGCTCTGTCACTCACACATCTGTTCGAGCTGCCTCTCACTGTGTCTCTGTTGGCAGTGTGGGGTAGGCACGGGCTGTGGACACCTGAGCCCCGTCCCCTGGGGCTCTGGCCCTGTTTAGCTCTGGGCAGTCCTGGCCACAAGAGTGGGCATCTCACAGAGACATTTCAGGGACCTTCTTTAGGGAAGATTGTTAGTCACCGTTGGTTCTCTCTGTCACCCCCCGATTTGATGCAGCGTGGCTGGGCTCGGGAGTGGGTAGGGGCTGAGGGCTGAGCAGGACGGCCGCCGGGGAGTGCCTTTGCTGAGTTTGGCCAGGGAGTCTACTCCTCTGAGTGTTCCGCCCTCCCCTTTCTTTCCATGCTCTGCTGGCCTGGCCATGGCCTGTGGCTTTGGGGCCTGACCATGGTGAGGCCCCACCCACCTCCGTCTCCAGTACCTGAGGCCTGGCGCCTCTTACAGGCTGAGGACTCTCCAGGGGGTGCCATGGTTTTTGGGTGGCGGGGCGGGCCGAGCCTGGGTGGTTGACGCGTGCTGCGGCGGCGCTCCGATCTGCTCCCCGGCTGACTGTGGGGTCTCAGCTGTTAATCACATCTGCCCGTGGGCCTCGGCGCTAATCTTCGAGGTCAGACAGCAGAGGTGACGCGGGCGCGCGCTGCCTCTTGTCATCCCCAATCCAGATCCGTTTCATTGACTCACTCCTGGCTGAATACGCCAGTTAATTATAGCAATCGCAGACCTTCCTGCTCCAGCCACGCGGTGAGAATAAGGGTTGGAGGGCCGAGCGCCAGCCTCGCTAATGGGCCTGGCGTTGTGGGGACATCGATCGAGGCTGAGCTGGCTGGTGAGCAGCCCCCCCAGCAGGGATTAGGCCGCTGAGTGTGCTGAGTGTCGATGGCCTCCCCTGGCCCCAGGCAAGTCCCTGCCCCAGAGAGGCTTCCCTCCCCTCCCGTCTCTTTCACTTTCTCACCCACTGGTCCTCAGAAACGAGGCTTAGAGACTCTGGAGTGGCCACTGTCTTGGTCATGGCGAGGGTTCTCTCTGGGAGGTGGGGTTCAGAGGGATGGAGCAGCGCAGAGTCTGGAGGCAGGCAGCTCTCAGTCTCTGTGTACCCTCATGCGCCAGGGGCTGCAAACTTCTCCCTGTTTGTAGAGTTGGGGTACAGAGACATCTCTGAGGTCCCTGGGGCTTGGCACATAGTGGGGCTCAGAAGCTCCTGCTCCCAGGTCCTCGCTCTGTCTGTCCGGTCCCCAGGGAGGACCCAGAGCACACTTGGCCGTTGTTCCCAACTTTTCCGCTGGGCAGCAGGAGCCCAGGCCACGATCTGTCAGCAGCGTCTGCCTCAATGGGTGGCATCTCTTGGTGTGTTTCTTTCTTTGTTCAGCTCCAGAGCGCAAATGTCCACATTTTCCCCACTCACAGCTGCTGGAATCTGGACAGGGGCACCCTGGGTTTGGGCTGGGTGCAAAGGAGGGCTTCCTAGGGGCCCAAGGCCGGGTGTGAGCATCACGGAGAGGTGGGGCAGGCGCGGTCACCCGTGCCTGTAAGCCCAGTGCCGTGGGCCACTGACATGGGAGGATCAATTGAGTCCAGGAGTTCGAGACGAGCCTGGGCACCATAGCAAGACTGTGTCTCTACCGAAAAAAAAAACCAGCTGGACCTGGTGGCACATAACTTTCGTCCCAACTCTTCAGGAGGCTGAGGTGGTAGGACCCCTTGAACCCAGGAGATTGAGGCTGCATTGAGCCCTGATTGCACCATTGTACTCCAGCCCAGTCTGGGCAACAGAGTGAGATACTGTCTCCCAAAAAAAAGAGAGAGCTGGGCACAGTACTGTTCGCAGTGGCCACACAGTGGGGCCCAGCTTGTGTGCCACCCACTGAGAGGCAGAAGAGCAAGGAGCCGGTAAACCGAGGCACACTGTGGACTGTCACTCAGCCACAGGAAGGAGGGAGATTCTGTTAGCCGCTGCACTGTGGATGAGCCATGAAAACACAGCTCCCAGTGACAAGCCCGACAAGAAAGGCCACGCAGCATGGGATTCCCTTGATGGGAAGTGTCCAGAACAGGCCCCTCCATGCGTGGGCTGAGGGAGAGGGGAGGGGCTGCTTGTGGGTAGAGGTTCCTTTTGGGGCGAGGGAGATGCTCTTAAACGGATTGTGGTGAAGGCTACACAACTCCGAACGTGCTGGAACCGTGGGACCGCGTGCTTGATGGGTGAGTTACACGGGGTAGAATCGTAGTGCAGTAAAACCGTCACAGCTGGAACCAAAGAGCCGTGGAAGTTCCATGCCAATTTTTTTTTTAAGAGAAAGATCCTTTCCTTAGTTTTTTTTTTTTCCCCTAAAAACTTAAAGCGAACTTGATCTATCTAAATACGTGCAGAAAAAGACATACCCGCCAGTGTCTGGAGCAAACCCACAGATCAGGAGGGCTGAGGCCGGTTCTCCTTTCCCACCCTCTGCCCCTGAGGTGAGGGGCGTGGAGCCCTGCCCTGCCGCCTGCGTGTCCCTTCCCTGGGTGGATCTAGTAGCCCGCTGGGCACAGTGCCCAGTCCCCGGGCTGGCCCAGCCGGCTTGTGTTGGAGTTGTCAGGGTGTGAGCAGTAGTGCTGGTCCATCTGGGGCTGGGTCACACCTCAGGGCCGGCAGCTGTCAGCCTCACTCCCCACCTGGGCCAGGTCCTGATGGGTGGGAGTGTGACAAAGGGGGAGCCTTGGCTTGGGCAGTTCAGGGGTTGCTGGGCACAATGTGAATGTATCTGGGCTACTCTGGGCATAGCGGATCTGGCTTGACTGAGTGTCTGCTATGGAGCGTCTGTGTCCAGTTGTGCAGGCTGCACACAAGCCTAGGAATCTGCCTTAGAGAGGCCCAGATAGCATTTCTGCGGGAGGCAGCAGGACCGTGTCCTGGAGACGGGGCAGCTGCCCCACTCCAAGGGAGCAGCTTTTGGAGAGCACAGCTGTATTTTGACATCGGGGTGCCCGTGGGGCCTCTGCCTCCTGCTCACCCCACTGAGGCAACTGGCTGGCTGAGGCCTCTGAGCACCCCTGTAAGGAGCAGTTTTCTTTGGTGAACGTACGTGTGCACCCTCAGGACGCAGTGAAGGGTACGTGAGGCCGCTTCGGAACCAAGGCCAGTTCTGAGCAGAAGCTGGGGAGGATGCCAGGAGTCGCTGGCCTGAGGTTCTCTTTCTGGGAAGGGTGTCTGATGCCTGCTTCTACCATGTCCTGGGCTGCAGGTGCTTCCCAAGTGGGGCTTTTGCAAACAGAAGGTGCTCAATTGTACCACGCCTCCTCAAAGGGCAGCGCTGATTCCCATGAGCTCCCAGCTGCTGTGACCCAGCATCTGGGTGCCTAGATGCCTGTTGCTGCTGGTCGGTGGGCGTGTGCCTGGTCCTGCCGGAGCCCGCCCCGGTGGACTCTGTGCTGTGGTGCTGTATGGGGCACCTCTCTGCCTGCCCTGTTGGGAACCTTGGCCTGTGCTGGACCCTGGTTGCGTGCTGAGTGTGGCTGTTGAGGGTGGAGATCCGCCCCGGGCCTATGTCAGGGGCTGGGGAATGGAATGTGGGGAGGGTGAGCCAGACACTGACCTGTGTACAAATCCACAGCCCTGTGAGTGGTTGTGTGTGTGGGGGGGAGTGACTGTGCACCCCCTGGGTCTCATCAGTCTGGGCAGGGTTTTTGTGGACCCCCAAGCCGCAGAGCTTCCGGGGCCTCAGCCTCTGGGGAGCTGCTGCCTCCTCAGTCACGGGGATTTGACCCCCTGGAAGCGAGGGTGATGCCTGCGTGAGGGCAGGAGGACTCTTGGAACAGGTGCCTTTGGACATCCTCACTCCCACCCCTGCTGCCACGCACACTCGGTCCCCTTCTGACCCGGGGAGGGAGGGAAGGAGGCCGCAGAGTGGAACCCTGGTCTGAGAAGGCAGTTTTGCTGTGGATAGCGGGAGCCCCTCCCCAGGGCCTGGGAACATTCTTCCCCATCCGCCCGTCCCTGCCTGTCCATGCCCCCTGCCCTTGGGATGTCCTCTTGGCTGTAGCCAGCAGTCACCCAGGCCCCGAGCCCTCTGGCCTTCCCTGTGCCCTCCCCCCTTCCCTGTACCCTCCCCCCATTACCAGCCAGGCCGCAGCCAGCCGTTCGGTCCCCACACCATCTGCGAGGCTGAGGGGTTGTTTCTGAGGTGGTGGACGAGTTCTGGGGTCGGTCGTGGCGCTGGATATAAACAGTGTGCCTACGCAAACCCCTGGAGTACGCCCTTAAGGACGGTCAATTATGTTTGTTTCTGACATTTAAAAACAAATTCATCTTTAGTTTTTTATTTATTTATTTTTTTTAGACGGAGTTTCGCTCTTGTTACCCAGGCTGGAGTGCAATGGTGCGATCTCGGCTCACCGCAACCTCCGCCTCCTGGATTCAGGCAATTCTCCTGCCTCAGCCTCCTGAGCAGCTGGGATTATAGGCATGCGCCACCATGCCCAGCTAATTTTTGTATTTTTAGTAGAGACGGGGTTTCACCATGTTGACCAGGATGGTCTCGATCTCTTGGCCTCGTGATCCACCTGCCTCGGCCTCCCAAAGTGCTGGGATTACAGGCTTGAGCCACCGCGCCCGGCCACAAATTCATCTTTAAAAAAAAACTCCGCCAGGGTCACCCTGAGTGGCTGCCATTGGGCTTCCTCGGCCACCACCGTGCTGCGTCTGTGCTTGGCTGAACCCCCACCTGCCTCCACAGCCCAAAGGGAACCCCCAGAGGGGCACTTTCTTCTGTAACCACCACACCCACCATGCACTCGGGGGCTCGCTCGGAACACTCGGGCTTGGGGTCTTGGCTGCCCACGTGCAGGCTGCCTCTCAGCGGGGCAGGGTGCTTGGCCCGGCTGGCCTGTGTGTCCTGGGACGTCCACAGCCCCAGCTCATGACACCACCTAGAAACGTGCACTCTCCTCCGGGGCTCTGTGTCTGGCCTGGGAGGTGCCACCTTTGGCTTTCACTCGGGGACGTCGGGCTGGGTCCTGTGTGTCCTGCCCCGGCTCCTTTCTGTCTGGTGGCAGTGGGTGGCCCTGGTCACCAGAGCATCTGTGCTTTTTGCCGAGTGACTAGGGCCCGTGGGGCGAAGGGATAGGGAGTGCCTGGGGCAGGGTAAGCTGCTGACCTGATCCGGCCTCAGGAGGGGTGTCTCCACCGTCCATCGGTCTTGGGTAGGGGCCCACGAGGCTGGTAGACCTGGTGCTCTGGGGGCTCACTTGCAGCCCAGCGAGTGGCTGTCACCGTGGCTCCTGCTCAGTCTACCTTCTTCTTCTCCACAGGGTCCTCACTGAGCAGCGAGTCGTCCCCCGTGTCCTCTCCGGCCACCAACCACAGCTCCCCCGCCAGCACACCCAAGCGTGTGCCCATGGGCCCTATCATCGTCCCCCCTGGGGGCCACAGCGTGCCCAGCACACCCCCGGTGGTGACCATCGCCCCAACCAAAACCGTCAATGGCGTCTGGAGGAGCGAGAGCCGGCAGGTGAGTGGCCCGGGGCAGGGCGGGGCACCCGGCATCCTCTAAGGGGAGGTTGGATGCGGCATTTGTTGGGGGCTTTGGAGCTTTCAAGGTTGAGCTGAAATTCGGAAGACACAGCCCCCTCACCCTGAGCGTCGGTCTCCTTCTCTGCCGCGTGGGGGTGACGTCACCTGGCTGGAGGCCCTGTGCAAGTGAGGGCAGCGGCCTGCACATCAGTCAGAAGAAACCATGGGCTGGGGGCCGTCCCCAGTTACTGTCTCCTGTTCTGGAGGTCACAGGTTCATGATGGGGGACTGGCAGGGCTGGCTTCCCCAGAGGCATCTCCTGGGTCGCTGCTGGCTGCCTTCTCGCTGGGTCATCTGGTGTCTGGGTGCTGATCTCCTCTTTTCGTGAGGACACCTGTCAGTTGATTTAGCGCCTACCCTGATGGCCTCATCCTGGTTTAATCGCCTCTTTGAAGACCTTGTCTCCAGTGCAGTTCCTTCTGAGGTCCTGGGCATTTGGGCTTTGTTTGACACGCAGACTTGGGCAGGGCTGGGAGTCCAGTTCAAGCTGTAACGCTGTGGCGTTGTAAGGGGGTGTTTGCAGAACACTTGGCAGACTGCAGCTGTGACTGTCATGGTCTGTGCACTGAACCAGGAATTGAGCCCGGAAGCCGTCAGAACAAGACGTCTGCTGGGTTTTTTGTTTCTGTCTTACTCTGGGGCTCCCAGCAGAAGCCCCTCCCCCAGTTTTCAGGGCTCCTCATCTTAGTGGGCCCCTTCCCACTCGCTGGTGCTTGCCCACATGGAAGGAGCTGGCATTGGGAGCTGCTGTCTGCCCTGCCTGGGGACCACACACCCTCAGGTGGCTCCCTGCGGCTCTGCATGTCTCCCCACTGCAGCTCCCCAGCGCCCCCATGCCCGCATGCAGCCTGGAGTGGGCCCTCCGTAACTAAGAATGATTCTCAGTGGCCGCTCTCGCCTGGACTTTTATGCTGAGTTCCGAGAGGGAAGCCCCATTTGGAAATGCTAATTAAACCGCAGAGAAGACTAGGAGGAAGGGGAGAGAGCGGCCGTCTCAGGGGGATGTGGGTGTCGGAGCCACCTGGTCATCACCAGGACCTGTCTCTACCCCCAGAGGTGGGAAGAGAGCCAGCCTCAGTCCACAGGTGACAGCCCTGGGCAGGCCCTGATCCAGGGTCCCTGTGGGGTCCCTAAGAGCTCTGGAGTGGGACCCCTGGGACCTGAGGTTACCTCTGCTGCTTTCCACGTCTTCTCTGGCTGAGGGGACAAATCTGCCTGGGGTCCTCACCTTGCTGGACCCCTCTGCCCTTGAAGCCTCTCTGTCTTAGTTTCTCTTCCCCATGTGTGGTCTGGAGCCAGAGGGGCAGGGCATGGCCTGGAGGGTAGACCCTGGCCAGAGGGGCCTCCACACCCCGAGGGGCATGGAGCAGCCCAAGGCAGCGCTAGTCCTGGTTTCAAAGAGGATGAGGGAGTTGTTACCAGCTCCCTTGTCTCCAGAGGCCACCCCCGGGGTCAGTCTTGACCCCAGGGACCCTGAGTCACCTGACGCAAACAGCCGAGGCTCCATGCACCCCCAGTGGTGGGGCCTGGCTGGTGGCACCAGGGCTCGCAGCTCACAGGAGGGTACTTTCCTGCCCCAGCCTGGACCAGGAGCCTCCACCGGCCGGGACCCCATTGCCAGCCACTGCCTTGAGCCCAACCAGAGCTCCAGGCTGAGGCCCAGGACACCTCAAGGAGGTTCCAGCGCCTTTGCCACTGACTCCTGTGCCCTGAGCTGGTCCCTCTCCTCGGAGGGGGTCCCTCTCCTTGGAGGGGGTCCTTCCCGCCTCAGGAATATTCAGCAGCCCCAGAGCAGAGCGGGGGAGCGACAGATCTGCTCCGGCAGTTTACCACCGCGGCACTTAATGGAACATGGTGCCACTGGGGAGGGCTCGGGGACAGGAGCTGGATTAGCAGGTGATGTACAGCTCCTCGCTCAGGCACAGAGGCTCAGCGGGGAATTTAATCCTCTGTGGGAGCGGGGAGGCGGAGAGAGGATTCCCCTCCCAGAGCTGTGACTGGGAACCGTAGTGGCCTCTGAGGCTGCAGGTGCAAGCGGGGGTCACCGGACGGGAGGCTTTTTGGCCTCTTCCCAGGGGCTCCCCTGTCTCCCAGGTAGTATGAGATGAAAAAGCCTATTTTAAAGCTAACAGGGCATGTCCTGCCTGTCTGACTGTGGAACCCTTGCTCTAATCACCCGAGAATGACGGATTTGCCTCCTCCCCGCAGCCCCCTCTGCCCCTCCTCCCCTCCCACCCCACCGCCTTCTTTCTTTCATCGTTGCAGCTGCGCCTGCAGCCGCTGCTCAGAAATGAAAAGCTGCCTGCAGATGCGCCGTGATGTGCCTATCTGTCAAGACAGAAGTGGGACCTTGGCCGCTGCTGTTGGGGTGCTTTGGGGTGGCTGCCGGGCCTCCCGGGCCTTTCCTGGGTGGGGGGCAGCTCTCTGCCTTGCTCCAGGCCCCGCTGACCTAGTTCCCAGGTGTCTGTGCCAGGCTTGGCCGGGTGCCAGCCAGACGGAAGCCACAGACATGTGTGTCTGGCTTGCCGGGCCCCTGCCCTGCCTGCTGGCTGCCCCCCCGCCCACCTCCCGGACTCCCTGTCTGTCCTCAGCCAGGCCAGGAAGGTGCCATCTGGCCTGGCCACTTGCAAGCAGGGCTTTGTCCTCAGCTGAGGGGAGAAGGGGTTCAAGGGTGTGTCTGGAGCGAGGAGCGGCCCCTCCCTGTGGCTGGGGCCCTGTACTCTGCTGTTTGACATGTCCCACAGCGTGGGGAGCATGTGGAGGAAGGCGGCAGGCCTGGGTCCATCCTGGGGTCAAGGTCTGCCCTCCAGCCCTCTTCCGACTCAATCAGTTGGATGCCGATTGCCTGGGCTGTCGTCTCCCTCATGCCCTGGCCAGGGGAGGCCTCAGCACCAGCCTGGGAGAGGGAGCCCAGGTCCCCTTGGTGCTTGAGCAGGCGAGAGCCCGTTCTGGGAGTCTGGAAGCCCACTAGCTTTGGGCCTGGTGTTGACTGGGGCACTACCTGGATGCTGGGGTCCAGGGGCCATTCCATCTTGTCCAGCCCATCCCAGACCCTAGGGACAGGGCGTGTCCTTCCTCGAGACCCGGTCCTCAGCTGTTCAGTTCTGTGCCAGGTAGGGTAGAGGCGTGAGGGATGACCTAGAAGCCCTATCTGGAAGTGGCCTCACAGGGCCAGTGTGGGCGGCTGAGCCTGGCTACTCATCTGCCCTGTCGGGCTCCCACCCTGCTGATGCATTCCCAGCTCGCCTGTGCCCAGCTGTGCCATGGACCCCACTGCCCTTTGAGCGGCTGCCGTGATGGGTACATGCCATTGATGTGTGCATGAGGCGTTCCAGGATGGCCAGGTCTCCTGATGCCAGGTTGGCCCGTCGGCCACTTCCCCGGTTGCTGACAGAGGCTGGAGACCCCAAGGCCAGGTGCTGGCCCCTGAGTTGGGGGGCGTCAGTGCCCGTGTGTGCCTCCCACCCTTGAGACCAGCACCCTGGAAGAGCAGGTCAGAGGTCATGAACCCAGGAGGACCCTGCAGAGAGTGGGGGCCCGGGCTGAGCCCTCGGGAAGGGAGCAGATGCTGCCTCTCATTGAAGATTCCAGGCGGCCGAGGCTCCTCCAATTAATCCTCACTGCCTGTCTCCTGGAGGGTGGAGCTTGGGAGGAGCCGGCCGGGCCTGGCTGCGCTGCCTCTGTGCGGGTACCATGTGTCACTGCCGGGTCACTGTCTGCCACCATGAAGATGGATAGGCCAGGAAGAGGGGCTGGCGGGTCAGGGACACAGCTCAGCTTCTGGGAGGCAGATGCCTCTCCGTGCTGGGGCAGATCTCAGCCCTGCACCGTCACTCCTGCTGATTTGGTGGGGCGACAGTCACAGGCCCCTTGTTTGCCAGGTATTTGGCATTTTGTAGCTCAGGGAGGCAGAGCAGAGCGCTGCCTGCTAATCAGCATTCGTTACCCTGATGTGGCCACATGGGATGTGAGGAAGGGCAGGGAGGCTCAGGGGGGCCAGTGTGGCCATGGCTCTCAGATACCCCCAGGTCGGGGTGGCGCTGGGGCTGAGAGCAGCTGCCCCGGCGATGGAGTGACGCCTTAGCACAGCCCCTGTCTGAGCCACCCTAAGCCTTGCCCCGCCCCTTCTTAGTCACACGAGTAACAGGAAGAAGCAAGGCTTTTCCCACTCTGGTTTCTCTGGGCCGGACTCTGCGTGGATGGGTCTGAGGGGGACGGCCTTCCGAGTGGCTGGGGGTGGCACGGCCCATTCTTAGACTTGGCGGGGACCTCAGCCAGGAAGGTGGGCCTTGGGCTACCGCCTCCTTCTGCTTTGTGCCTGGAGCAGACTCCTCATCTGAGTCTCCTGGGCCACCTTGCCCAGCTAGGCATTTTCTGTCCAGGTCCATTTTCTGTCCAGGAGCCTAGGACGGGTGAGCTGTGGCCTTCCCTGTCCCACCGTGTGTGTGAAGGTCGGGTGCAGGCCAGTTACAGGCCAGCTGCTGCCTGTTCTGCTGGGCGCCAGGGCCAGGGCCACCCCAGGAGTTGGCTGGGAGCAGACCAGCACCTTCAGCCAGGGGGCAGTGCCAGCTTCCTATGGCCTCTACCCTCCACATGGGCACCAGGGGCAGGACATCTGAGATGGGGGTGGGCGGCTGCTGGCACAGCTGACATCTTGCTTACATGACGCACTCACTTCACAGCATGCTAGGTGCCAACAGCATCCACTTCCCCGGATGTGGGCACCAGGACAGGTAGGAGGCAGGAGCTCCTGTCGCCCCGTGTGCATCACCTGCGCACGCTGTGGTTCTCAGTGGGGGGAAGGGGGTTCTACTTCTTCCACTGGCCTGAGGAGGCCCAGGGAGGGGGACAGGAAGGCCCTGAGACGGGCCTCACCCCATACCTGGCAGAGCCATGTCCCCTTCCTACGGTTCTACCTCCCACGTCACCTGCACCATGTTTTGTGTAGAAAGCCTTAGGGAAAGGATATTTCTAGAACCTGAGCTACATCCAGACCTGGCTCTGTCCTGTGTGCACTGGCCTGTACCAGTTCCTGCCCTGACCGGACACTCTCCTCTGCAGGACGCCGGCTCCAGGAGCAGCAGTGGCGGTCGAGAACGCCTCATTGTGGAGCCCCCGCTCCCCCAGGAGAAGGCAGGGGGCCCAGCCATCCCCTCGCACCTGCTCAGCACCACCTACCCCTTCGGCCTCTCCCCCAGCTCGGTCGTGCAGGATTCCCGCTTCCCGCCACTCAAGTAAGTCAGCCAGTGGGGTCTTTGTGAGGCAGCCAGGCGGGGACACAGTCTTCAGGGTCTGGGTCCCCAGGCAGCCTGTGGTCTGTACCAGGTGAGGCTGGGCCCGCCGGAGGGTCATCGGCCTCTGCAGCCGCTCAGCCCCGGGGTTGGAGCCCTGTCTGTGCCCCTCCATGCTGAGGTGGTGATGGCAGCACACTGCCCACCCTGCTTCAGCTCCGTTCTGGTTCTGGGTGCCAGGAGTCTGGGTGCCGGCTGAGCGGCAGGGGGGATGCCGGGAGGTTAGCCATCCCCTCAGCAGGAGCAGGTCTCCGCTTACCTGTTCCCACCTCGCCCACTGTCCTGGCCTGCAGCCTCCAGCGGCCTGTGCACCACGTGGTGCCCCCCAGCACCGTGACCGAGGACTACCTGAGAAGCTTCCGGCCCTACCACACCGCTGACGACCTCCGCGTGTCCTCACTGCCTCCCCTAGGCCTGGACCCGGCCACCGCCGCAGCCTACTACCACCCCAGCTACCTGGCCCCGCACCCCTTCCCCCATCCGGCCTTCAGGTGAGGCGGCCCCCGCGTGCCCTCTCATCCAGGCACCAGTCTAAGCCTGACAAGACGGAGCCCGGTGGGAAGGTGTTTCTTACAGCCTGGAGGCCAGGCTCCCAGGGGAGCATCTAGAGCGGCCCCCAAAATCGTCCCCAGCTTTGAGCTCAAATTCAGCCCTGATGGCCCACTGGTGAACAGTCCCCTTGGTGACTGTGCCGTCACTGTTGAGAACAGGGCTTTGCCTGTGGGAGGGGTGCTACTTGGCCATGTGGTGGGAGAGCCTGGGTCCTTGGAGAAGCTCCACACATCCTAGCCAGAGGGGCCTGTAGTCACGACACGGACCGCCCCACGTCAGGGCAGCCCAGCCTGCTGGCCGGCCTCGGAAGGGCCTGCGCGCTTGCTGACTCTCAGCCGAGGGAGGTGGCAGGTAGCGTTCTGGATCCCCAAGCTGTCGGCACCCAGCGGCTTCTGGCATTAAAGGGCTTTGGGGCTAACAGCAGGTGCGGCTTTCGCCTCCAGCCATTTTGCCACGTTCCCCACACTCAGGGAGGTGTGCGTACCTGGCCAAGGCGCACCTGTTGACAGGGCTGGGTCTACCCCTTGGTTTTAGGGTTTGGTGCTCACGGCCCTGTCTTCTCCACACAGGATGGATGACTCCTACTGCCTGTCCGCCCTGAGATCCCCGTTCTACCCCATCCCCACCCCTGGCTCCCTGCCCCCACTGCACCCGTCAGCGATGCACCTTCACCTCTCCGGGGTCCGCTACCCCCCCGAGCTCTCCCACTCATCCCTGGCGGCGCTGCACTCGGAGCGCATGTCCAGCCTCAGTGCGGAGAGGTAAGTGTGTCCCGGCCCGGGGAGCCCCTCTACCCTTCCTGTCCCTAGATGGCAGCGAGGCAGAAAGCCTGGGCTGGAGCCTGACTGGGGTCCTGGGCCGTGCCTGTCCCGTTTTTCCGCCTGCCAAATGGGACAGTGATTGTTGCAGTTCTGTGCTCTGAAACAGCGCCTGTCTCGGCAGCCGTAGACGCCTGCTCTAAGCCCACGGGCCGAGGCGCTCTCGGGGCGCTTGCGGGTGTTGTAAGCCACTTTGATTGTATGGACCTTAAGTTCTTCTGCACCAGCAAAAGTGAGGGAGATGCTGCTCACCTCCCGTACAATTTGGATCGGTGCCCTGGCTCGTTCCTGGGCATGCTTTTTAAGGGCCTGCCCAGGTCCCCGTCTTGCTCCTGGCGCAGCACGGCCCCAACTCTTTCCACACACTGCAGGCTGCAGATGGACGAGGAGCTGAGGCGGGAGCGTGAGCGTGAGCGCGAGGCTGACCGCGAACGGGAGAAGGAGCGTGAGCGTGAACGGGAGAAGGAGCGTGAGCAGGAGAAGGAGCGGGAGCGTGAGAAGGAGCGCGAGCGGGAGCGGGAGCTGGAGCGCCAGCGGGAGCAGCGGGCCCGGGAGAAGGAGCTGCTGGCCGCCAAGGCCCTGGAGCCCGCCTTCCTGCCTGTGGCCGAGCTGCACGGGCTGCGTGGCCATGCCACCGAGGAGCGGGGCAAGCCCTCGGAGCAGCTGACCCCAACCCGAGCAGGTACCTGGGCGCGGGTGGGCTGTGCCAGCCGAGGTCTCAGCCACCCATGGGGAGGAGCTCTGATCCGCAGCACGTGCCAGTCGCCATGGTGTAAATCCTCCCCTGCTGAGTTCACCCGAAAAGCCTGTCGTAGCTGAACACAGAGTAGGGAACAGAGGCACTTGGACACATGATACAGACATGGGTGTAGGCGACCCCACGAGCACAGCTGTGAAATGTAGCCAGGGTATTAGCAAAGAGTAAGTTTTGAGTGCTTTGTTAATTGTAATATAATTTATGTTCCTGTTCAGTTTACAAATAGCTGTTTAGTAATAACAACCGGCTTTTGCATGTTTCCTAAAAATTTAACAGTCTGCTCTTTGAGCCAGTGTGAGCTGGCTCTGGCACCCCACTGGCTGGGCAAGACGTGCCAGCCAGCCATGGAGCGCCTCCTTCTAGGGACAAGGCATGCTTCCTGAAAGCTCCCATAAGGCCCTCTGGAATCTCTTGGTTCTGGCTGTGGGAAGAACCCTTTGGAAGGGTCTGGTTTCTCTGGGCAGTTGGGTGAGAGAGGCGGGGGATGGAGCATGCCAGCCCGCGTGGCTGAGACCCTGACGACTCTGCTTCCCCCCACAGAAAAACTGAAGGATGCCGGCCTGCAGGCGCCCAAGCCCGTGCAGCACCCCTTGCATCCGGTGCCCACCGCACACCACGCAGTGCCCAGCCTCATCTCCAACCATGGCATCTTCTCTCTGCCAAGCAGCAGCGCTGCCACGGCCCTGCTGATCCAGCGCACCAACGAGGAGGAGAAGTGGCTGGCGCGGCAGCGGCGACTGCGGCAGGAGAAGGAGGATCGGCAGTCTCAGGTGTCGGAGTTCCGGCAGCAGGTGCTGGAGCAGCACCTGGACATGGGCCGGCCCCCAGTACCTGCAGAGGCGGAACACAGGCCCGAGAGCACCTCCAGGTGGGCCCGGGCAGCGGGTACTCACATGTGTGAGCCTGGGGAGGGAAGGAGGGATGAGCCTTCATGTTCAGATTTGTTCTGTGTGTATTGAGCACCTGCTGTTTGCCCGACGTCCCGCCCCAGCGTTTCTGCCTTCCTCTTTCATTTCTGCTCTTTCATGTTCACGTTACAATGCCTGTCTTGCCTGTGGGGAAGCTGAGACTGAGGAGGAAAATGGTTGCTCAGAGGTATCCCCACCAGTAAGTAAGGAGAGCAATCAGGTCCATGTTGAGAGCCAGGCCCTGCCCACGCAGCCTGGACCCGTTCCCAGGAGGCCATTCACAGCAGCTGAGAGCTCGAGGTGGAAGCTTTAATTACTCATAATACCTGTTCTCTCCATCCTCCTCTGCTTTTGAGCCTCGGCTTTTTTTTTTTAAAGAGAAGGGGACGGCTTTTGATTTTAAGGAAAAAATGAGTTTTATTGCTTTCATATTAATAATAATTCCCATTTTCTTTTTTTTTTTTGAGACGGAGTTTCGCTCTTGTTACCCACGCTGGAGTGCAATGGCGCGATCTCGGCTCACCGCAACCTCTGTCTCCTGGGTTCAGGCAATTCTCCTGCCTCAGCCTCCTGAGTAGCTGGGTTTACAGGCACGCGCCACCATGCCCAGCTAATTTTTTGTATTTTTAGTAGAGACGGGGTTTCACCATGTTGACCAGGATGGTCTCGATCTCTTGACCTCATGATCCACCCGCCTCGGCCTCCCAAAGTGCTGGGATTTCAGGCTTGAGCCACCGCGCCCGGCCCAATAATTCCCATTTTCTAGCCCTTTATTCCCAGGAGACTTTGTGGCGGTGCCTGGGAGCCCAGCTGCAGACACAAGTCTTACGAGCTGGGCCCGAGTGCCACCGAGCCTGCCTGCTCCTGCCCTGGTGCCGTGCTGCTCCCAGCTCCCGCCTCACAGCCCCCTGGGGCTCACTCTCAGCAAGAGTGGGTGGGGATGACCTGCCAGGCTTCTCTAGCTCTGGGACCTAAGGACACTGCTTCTGTTCCCTGAGCCTCGGTTTCCTCAACTGAGGAGAGTGGGGTGTTTTCTGAGCCTCTTTCCAGCTTTCAGGGCTGTGGTGCTGTCGTGGAATAAGAAACCCTCCGGCTCTGGGACGGGAGTGTGCTGCTATGTAAAATCTGCCCTCCCTTCCATTTGCCCCCTTGTCGAGTAGGGCAGCGAGGAAATGCATGCTGCTGATCAGGGATGACTGTCACTGGGCCCACCGCAGTCTCCCTGTGGCTCATGATGTCCAGCATGGCTGAAGGGAGGCCCCTTCTGCCAACTGTCCCTCTGCGTCTCAGCCTCTCGCAGCCCCCACCCCCAAGGCCTCTCAGGCTCAGCCTTGCCTGCTACCCAGTGGACTCAAGGCAGCCAGCTCCCCGCTGGCATGGCCTGATAACATGGGGGTGCCCTGACTCCTGCAGGCATCTTCTTCCTTGGAGCTCCCTAGGGCCCCAGTACAGGTGTTGCGACTTCGCCCACCCATGGGCTGCTTCCAGCCAGGGCAGCTGCACCATTTGGACCTGGGCACGGTGGGAAGCAGGGCCCAGGCCTCCCCTGGCTATGGAGATTCTCCTGTGGCCGGCTGCACACACGTCCTTACAGCAAGCTGAGCGGGGTCCTCACAGGGCCCTCATGCTCCAGGCTGGAAAAGTGTCCCGTGCTTGGTGTGGCACGTGCAGTATTTATTCTGCAGTTTTGATTCCTTTGCTGTTCACTTAAGGACAGGCCTTCTTCCCGTGCTTCCCTGTTGTATTCTCCTAAGAGGGGCGGCAACGCTGGATATGTCCCCAGCCTTGAGTCTGGAATTACTAGGGAGGGCCTTGGTGGCTGTGTTTAAACAGCACCGGGGCAGCCTGGCCAGGTGCCTGCCATGGCCTCTGTTTCTTCCTTCCCCTCAAGCCTTGCACAGGGTCACTGGGGAGTACTGGTCCAAACATCCTGTGAGTTTATTTTCCTTTACAAAAAAGAAAGCCAGGCACAGTGACACGTGCCTGTAGACTCAGCTGCTCTGGATGCTGAGGTGGGAGGATTGTTTGGGGCAATAGTGTGCTGTTACCTATTTGATATCCAAGGCAAGTCCAGCACCAATGCAGTGACCTCCCAGGAGCAGAGGGCCACCAGGTTGCCTGGTGAAGGAGGGGTGAACTGCCCAGGTTGGAGATGCAGCATGTCAAAACTCCCATGCTGATCCGTAGTGGGATTGCACCTGTAAATAGCGACTTCGCTCCAGCCTGGGCAATACAGCGAGACCCATCTCTATAAAAAAAAAAAAAAAAAAAAAAAAAAAGATAAACTTTGGAAAAACAATACTAAAAATAACCCTTTGAATAGATTAAATCTTGGTTTAAATGCACATAGAGAAACAAGTCATTTAGTGCAACTAAGGGGCAGCTTCTTGTTTAATGGAAGGGCTCCGATATTAGAAATCCCCTCTTCCCTCCCTGCCTCAGCAGGCCTTAGTCTAGGTCTTTGAAGACACTTTGTTTCGGGCCTCTGCCACTGGCCACTTGGGGTCGCTGCAGTTCTAACGGGGGCCACTGCAGAGCAGTCTGGGCACAGGCCCCATCCTGGCACTTCACTGTTGGTTTTGGCTCTGGGTTGGGCTGGGCAGGCACTGGAAGGTTGTGGCTTATGGCTGCCTGCAAGGGCAGTGGGGAGGGAAGAGCACTGGCTCTGTGCACATGGTCAGCCTGCCTTACAGGGCACAGCAGGAGGAAGGGACCGGTAGCAGGGCCGCAGCCTCGTACAGAGTGGGTTTCCCATGGAAAATGAGGATGACGCTTGCCCTTGGGGGGATTTGCACAAGCAGGGTGGGAAACTCAGCACAGTTGGGTCTGTCCTGGGCCCGAGCGGGTCCGCCTTCCCGAGCAGTATAGGCTTAGCAGTATAGCCTCCCTGACCTGTTGGAGCGGCCTGCACATACCTGCCACGGGTGTTAAAAGAGGAAATGGAGGGCCTTGCCTGGTGGCTCACTCTTGTAATCCCAGCACTTTGGGAGGCCGAGGCAGGTGGATCACTTGAGGTCAGGAGTTCAAGACCAGCCTGGCCAACATTGTGAAACGTCATCTCTACTAAAAATGGAAAAAATGAGCAGGGTATGGTGGCACACACCTGTAATCCCAGCTACTTGGGAGGCTGAGGCGGGAGAATCAGTTGAACCCAGGAGGCAGAGGTTGCAGTGAGTTGGCATCACGCCACTGCACTTCAGCCTGGGTGATAAGAGCAAAACTCCATCTCAAATAAAAGAAAATGGAGGACGGAAAACATGGTCCTTGGGGTGGGATGTGTGCCCTCTCCCTGCAGCCCTGCTGGCAGCGGCTGTCTATGGGGCTGTGCCATCTGGGTCATCTTAGGAGCGCAGGCTGCTGGGGAAGCCCATGGAGGGCTGAGGGGTCTTTTCTCCCTGACTGATGGGTTGGTCTCACTCCCTAGGCCAGGACCGAACCGTCATGAGCCAGGTGGCCGTGACCCTCCGCAGCACTTTGGGGGGCCACCACCTCTGATTTCACCCAAGCCCCAGCTCCACACTGCACCTACAGCCCTCTGGAACCCCGTGTCCCTGATGGACAACACCTTGGAGACGCGGCGCCCTGAGAGCCACCCTCTGCACAGCCACCCGGCTGCATTTGAGCCTAGCCGCCAGGCAGCCGTACCACTGGTGAAGGTGGAGCGGGTCTTCTGCCCGGAGAAAGCGGAAGAGGGGCCACGGAAGCGTGAGCCTGCCCCCCTGGACAAGTACCAACCACCTCCGCCACCACCACCACGAGAGGGAGGGACCCTGGAACACCAGACCTTCCCACCCGGGCCTGGGCCCTTCCTTGCTGAGCTCGAGAAGTCCACCCAGACCATCTTGGGCCAGCAGCGGGCCTCCCTCCCACAGACAGCCACCTTCGGGGAGCTCAGCGGACCCCTGAAGCCTGGCTCGCCCTACCGGCCCCCAGCACCACGGGGCCCTGACCCTGCCTACATCTACGATGAGTTCCTGCAGCAGCGCCGGAGGCTGGTCAGCAAGCTGGACCTGGAGGAGCGCAGGCGGCGGGAGGCCCAGGAGAAAGGTCTGCCGCCCCGAGGGCCCCAACCTGCTCAGGGGGAGCGGCACAGTGGGGAGGGGGAGCCTGCGTGCCAGCCACCAGCCCCTTGTGCTTTCTGCCTGGGGTAGTCCCAGGCTCCACGTGGCAAGTGCGCTGGCTTCTGTGTAGCAGCTTCACACTGCTGTAGGGGAGATAGACCGTAGGCCCCATGCCTGTCCTGCCTCCGTGCAAATTGTCCCAAAAAGCCAAATCAAAGCCTGCCTGTAAAGACAGTTCTGCAGACATGCACGATGAATAAGTGATGAGCAGAGACTAATAAGATGGTTTTAAATATTAATAGTGCAGCATAACAGGAGTGCTGGCCTGGGCCCAGCAGGGACTCCACATCCAGGGCTGTCTGCAGCAGGTGGGCCAGGGCGGGGAGGAGGTGGCAGCTGGCACTGTCCCGGGTCAGGGCAGGAGGTCAGGCACCTCATTCCCATTTCTCCTTGGGGCGGAGAGTCGTCGGCCGGCACTCCCCGAGAGCACCAGGAAGAGCATCTGGCAGTCTCGGTTGTGAGGAGAGAGCAGGGCTCCAGCCCCGTCTCTTTCCTATGCTGGACACTCGGTCCCGTCCCATGCCGAGCTCACCTGCCCCTTCACTAGAAGCTGGGGCACAGGCCATCTTCCTGGTGCGCGGAGGCTGGATGGAGGGCCCGGCTAGGCTTCTCTCCCCTTCTCACTTAGGAAAGGAGGAGGGGGCTACCCCAGTGCCCCTGGGCAGGGGCTCTGCCGTTGTCTGTGCATTTGAGAGCAGGGGCCTGTGCTCCTGTCCTCTCCCAGGGGTTGGACCCAGACGGCCACAGCAGGGGGCAGTGCATGTGCACAGGCAGCGCTATGTTGCCGTGGACATGGCCCCAGGCCTGTGTGATGGATGGTCCCTGCCAGGGGGAGGAGGGAGGTCTTGCCAGCCCAGCGGACCGCCTAGCCACTTGGAGGCCTCTGAGGGCCTTGGATCCCAGGGAAGCCTGGTGCCTGCGGTCGCGCAGAGCCCTAGGACTGGGTTAGTGGTGGCTTCCACCTGGGTGGAAAGGAAGTGGCCTTCGGGGTGCTCAGGTTCCAGCAGGCCTGGCCTGATGGGTGGGTTGCAGTGATGTGGCTGGAGGGCATGTCCACTGGACAGATGAAGGCTCTTTGTCCAGCTGAATACAACCATTTTTCATCAGGGTACTACTACGACCTCGATGACTCTTACGATGAGAGCGATGAGGAGGAGGTCAGGGCCCACCTCCGCTGCGTGGCCGAGCAGCCGCCCCTCAAACTGGACACGTCCTCCGAGGTACTGGGCTCTCCTCCCCACAGACGTACACTGGGCTGGGCTGGGCCCCCACATCAGTGCCTACCTCCCAGCTTTGACACCCGCAGCCCTTCCCACCGGTTCTAGGTTCCTCTAGAAGTCCTGGCAGGGTTGGTCCCACCAAGCTGTAGCCAGGCACAGCCAGCCATGGCACACAGACTTCGAGGACCCCAAGAGGGGGGCCCGGGACAATGAAAGAAGACCACTGCCAGTGGCTTCCAACTCCTTTGTTTTCTTTCCCAATCTAGAAGCTAGAGTTTTTGCAACTTTTTGGCTTGACCACCCAACAGCAGAAGGAGGAATTGGTGGCCCAGAAGCGGAGGAAGCGGCGGCGGATGTTGAGAGAGAGAAGCCCGTCACCCCCCACAGTTCAGAGCAAGCGGCAGACGCCTTCACCAAGACTGGCGCTGTCCACCCGCTACAGCCCTGATGAGATGAACAACAGTCCCAACTTCGAAGAGAAGAAGAAGTTCCTGACCATCTTCAACCTGACCCACATTAGCGCCGAGAAGAGGAAAGGTGGGGCCTCACCAGGGTAGGAAGGTTGGGGCTCAATGGGGTGGGCGTGCGTTTCTGTAGCGGCAGACACCAGGCAGGATCTGGGATCACTCGGCTGGAGGCTGCCCCTTCACTCTTCCCAGCTCCTGGGGACAGCCTGTGCTCGTGGAAGCTCTCCGCAGCAGCCCTTACCTGGCAGGCTTTGCTCGGAGAACCCCCACTGTCTTGAGCTGAGGACTGCCTTTGTCACTCATCCATCTCCTGGCGCCCGAGAAGGTGCTCTTTGAGCCGAGTGTGCCAGTGACTGCACAAGGCATGAGGGGAGGTGCCCGGCATTCGGGTTCATCTTGCTGCAGGCTTTTTCTCTTGCTGGACTACTCAGGTGGTCAGCTGGGCGTTGTGTCTTGGTGGCCAGAGGCCTGGGGAAGCTGCCAGGCAGCGCAGCACACACTGAGCAGATGGCTTGCCTTAAAAGATGCTTCCAGTTAGTCTGGCCACACAGGGACATGCTGGGACAGATCCTCTGGGCTGGAGTCCACACAGCAGAAGAGACAACGCAGCTACAACCCCCACTTAGTGTTTTGACTTCCCTGGCCCGTGACGCAGGCTGGTTCTGTGCCTGCATGGTGACGTTCCTGGCCCTGCCCCTTGGCGAGCCTCCAAGTCTTCAGGGATCCCTGGCCTCCGCTGTGAGAGAAAGTGAAAGGAAAGCAGAGTTACCTTGCGGTCTTTTCGCTGCTTCAAGGTGTCTGTCAGGGTGCAGCCATTTCCTTTCTGCTTTGTACCAGTCAGGAGGTGTTCTTTCTCTTCTCGGGCTGATGCCGTGTTGCTTGCCGGCCCAAAGTCCTAGATGCAAAGCATCTTTTGACGTGGCTGCATTTTTACAGGAAAAAAATTCAGGGCAATGCAGCCCTTAAATGTCAGAGTCAACAAGGGCCGTGTGACACCAGGAATCTGCTCTGTGTAACAGCATGGGGTCATCTTTCTTTCTCAGGAAGTGCCGGGAGGGAGGGGGCCAGGAGACGGCACCCTGCCTCAGAGGCTAGGCCTGGGCCTTTGGGGCATTTCCTGGTGTTGGGGCCACCTTTTCTCACTTGAAATAAAATACATCCTCACACACCACCACTGAGGTCCGTGGGCACAGTGTTTAACAGAGATGTAATCACTGCATAGACAGCTGTCTTTCGAGCACGTCTAAGACTTTGTGTAGTGGATGCGTGTTAGTCTGGGCTCACTGTAATGTGGTGCCTTCTTTTAAACTGGGCCTGCCTCATCGCACCTGCTTTCGGTTTTTCTGGCTTTAGCGCTTTACCTGCCCATCAGGGCTCTGCTAGAATCCCAGCATCTTTCCCTCCAAAAAAAATGATGCAACTGGCTCGTTAATCTTAGGCTGCTTTTCCCATAGACAAAGAGAGACTTGTTGAAATGCTCCGTGCCATGAAGCAGAAGGCACTGTCACCAGCAGTGGCCGGCTCCTTGACAAACTCTCCGAGGGACAGTCCTGCCGTCTCCCTGAGTGGTAAGGGAAGGATAGCCCCACCTGCTACCACCCAGGATCATCCTGAGGGCTGCGCCGGCTTGGAGGCAACCACTCGAGGTCCTCGTCAAAGTGGCCTCCTGCCGACTGTCTTCTGCCATTCTTCTTGCACAAGTGTACCATCCTTGCACAGTTGTGACGGTCCTGGGGACACAACATCAGTTTGAAGGCGGGCTCAGAGTTGAGGGGAGGGTCTGGCTTCTGTGGAGCTCAGTGTGAGGTCCACTGTGGTGGTAGTAACCTGTCCTTCAGTCATAGCACAGTAGGTCACACAGAGCCCACTCCAGTGGCCCCATCCCAGGAGGGTGGGCGTGCTCTAGGCTCTGCCTGTGCCCTGGTCCTGCCACTGGCCTGCCTGCCCTGGCTCTCCTCCTGCATCTTCGTCTTACTCACTCTGCCCTCTGGGCCCCGCCGGCACCTCCTGCCCTGCTTTCCTCCTCTTACATCTCTGGTCGAGCGACCTCTGTCCTGTCCAGTGTCGCAGGGAATCTTTATAGTTCATCCCAGTTCTTGGCTCCACACGCAGTCTCTCGTCTGGTTGGAGTGAATCCCTCTCTCTCACAGTCCCGTGGCTGGGGGACTTGCTTCTTCCTACGGATCTGTTTTTCTTGGGATATCTTTCAAGGATGGACTTGCCACCAAACACCACCGTCTTCAGAGCGGAGCCACGTGCGCAGCGGTTATTTACATGTTCCCTGGGTGTTGGTTCTTTGCACTAGGTCTTTATTAAGAGTAAGCTCTAGAGATGGGGATCTGCGTGCTCGACCCTCAGCCTGTTAACTTGCATCTCTTAATGTTTTCCTTCACTTTCTGTCTCTAAAAGAAGCAGCCACGCAGCAAGCCTCTCTGGACATGGACAAGCCGGTTGGTGTTGCTGCTTCCTTGTCTGACGTCCCAAAGGCCGCGGAGCCTGGGAAGCTGGAACAGGTCCGGCCCCAGGAGCTGTCAAGAGTCCAGGAGCTAGCTCCTGCCAGTGCGGAGAAGGCCAGGCTGAGTGAGGGCCCTGGAGGCAAGAAGAGCCTGAGCATGCTTCACTACATCCGGGGCACTGCACCCAAGGACATTCCTGTGCCGCTGTCCCACAGCACCAATGGGAAGAGCAAGCCATGGGAGCCCTTTGTGGCGGAAGAGTTTGCCCATCAGTTCCACGAGTCAGTGCTGCAGTCCACCCAGAAGGCCCTGCAGAAGCATAAAGGTAATGAGGCTGCCCGTCCTTACTCGGCTCCTGCCTGTGCTTGAGGCTGGCCCCAGTCCCTGAGCGGCCACAGCTGCTCAGCCGTGGGCACCAATTTTTATAAACTCCAATCCCCAGAAGAAAATAATGTTGTTAGTATGCCAAAACCATGTTTGTTTGTTTTACTCCACACTCTAAAAGCTGAACTTGTAGGTGAAAAGCATTTTTAGGTGCCAGCACTGATGCTGTGCTGTGAGCAGGGGTGCATCGATCCGTAAGAGGTAGCAGCAAGGAGAGCAGCAGGCACTGGTTTTTGCTGAGATTAAGAAAGGTTCCCCAAAGGCAGGAAGAGTGCATGATTGGATTTTTACCAGCATTCATTTGAAAGAATCGTGTTTTTCAAGACAAAATGTTCAACTAGATTCAGATGGCCGCTACTCCTCAGGGTAGAGAGTCCCTTCCTTCCTGGTGGTATGTAAAGATGTCATCTCCGGCCCTCTGGATCCATGGGTTCCACGTGTTTGGATTCAACCAGCTTCAGATTAGACATATTTGTGGGTGGGGTGGAATTCCACAACATTCCAAAAGCAAAACTTGAATTTACCAAGCACCAGGTACTACATTGAATCCATGCAGATCAGGTGAAGTAGGGGCAATATATTAGGTATTACAAGTAATCTAGGTACAAGTATAGGCGGTATACTGGGTGTTACATTGTATCCATGTAGGCTCTATTCAGGTACTATGCTGTTTTCCGTTAGGGACTTGAACCTCCTTGGCTTTTGGTATTCACAGGAGGTCCTGCACTGCAGCCTGGGTGACAGAGTGAGACTCTGTCTCAAGAAGAAGAAAAATGGAGGCTCAGAGATGAATTTCATCAAAATGGTCCACGTACCAGGATCGACTGGTACTCAGCGCTGCTCTGTGTCAGACGTTGTCATGCTGGGTCCGTGGCCCAGAGACCGTTGGCTAGATTCCCTCCTCTTTGCTCAGTGTCACGTTGGTCCCTAGAGACCTGCAGTCATGCTGACTCTGCAGCAAAGGCAGGGCAGAGCTTGAGACAGCACCCTGTGTCCCTACCCTCAACACACTGACGTAAGCCCTGTCCCTTCTGCAGGGAGCGTGGCTGTGCTATCCGCAGAGCAGAACCATAAGGTCGATGCGTCTGTCCACTACAACATTCCCGAGCTACAGTCCTCCAGCCGTGTCCTTCCACCCCAGCACAATGGGCAGCAGGAGCCCCCCACTTCAAGGAAGGGCCCCCCAACGCAGGAGGTGGACCGGGACTCGGAGGAGGAGGAGGAAGAGGATGAAGATGGAGAAGAGGATGAAGAAACCCCCAGGCGCAAGTGGCAAGGGATTGAGGCCGTTTTTGAAGCTTACCAGGAACACATAGAAGGTATGGCATTGGGAGGGAAGAGGGGAGGGAGTAAAGGACCTTTAGAAAGGAAGCTGAGTGACAAGTTCATGCAGACTTTTGCCAGCCTGAGGACTGTTCCTGCATCCTGAGGCACAGTAGATACAAATACTGGAAGGTTCCTCCGGCTTCTGGTAGTGGTGATGCCCCATGGTGGAACCTGAGGCCAGTCTTACTGGGGCATCAAGCACCAAGATGCCAACTTTTCGTGGCACCTGTCATTTTTCATGTGGGCCCTGCTCTTGGAGACCCAACATCAGTGCGGATGTCGGCCTCAGCTTCGGGTAAGGGCCCTGGCACATGACCCAGTTGGCCAATTTGCTGAGCTCCAGCAGCTAGGCCTGGTTACTGCTTGAGCATGCCTCCTGCCTAGCTGTAAGGATTACTCTGGGGCCAATGGGTACCAGTAACGTTTCAGCTACCTTTACTTTAGCCAGGTGCTGTGCGAGGGGGAGACAGGCTCCTGCCGAAGGCTTAGTCAAAGGCTCGCCACCTGTCTAAATACCCAGGATGTTTTGATCCCCCCTCGGAATGTACATGCCAACCCTCCCCCATCCGCCTCCCCCCCCCCCCCCGGAAGCCACAGCACCAGGCAGACTCTGCCAGGGAGTAGAACCATGAAACTGGCTGCTGCAGTGTTTGATCCTTCTGTATACAGCAGCCCACCTCCTGCCTCTTAATGCCTCAGTTACCCGAGGATACGGCCAAGGCCCATTTGGCTTGGCACAGAGGTACCCAGCCTTCATTTTGCACTCGCCATCCTTACTGTATGGGCACTGCTGGGCAAGGGTGCAGCCACCTGCAAGTGATTTATTAGCATATCCTAGATGATTTTTTCTCATCACGTATTATAGTGTTATAAACGTAAGGACTTGATTACGAATGTCAACCTTTTCAAATACGTTGAAAAGTAGTTTGTCTCTTGCCAGAACTCACTTTGGAAAAGTGTTCTCCAAACTAAAAAAACAAATGCCTGTGTAGCCACAACCAGGGCATCAAATCCTGTATTTGGCTTCCTTTCTTCCTCCCATGGAATCTTTCCAGTTTATTGCCTACTACTTCCCTGTTTTTTTTTTTTTTTTTTTTTTGAGATGGAGTCTTGCTCTGTAGCCAAGGCTGGAGTACAGTGGCGTGATCTTGGCTCACTGCAACCTCTGCTGCCCAGGTCCCAGGTCAAGCAATTCTCCTGCCTCGGCCTCCCGAGTAGCTGGGATTACTCATGGGCCACCATGCCCAGCTAATTTTTGTGTTTTTAGTAGAGACAGTTTCATGATGTTGGCCAGGCTGGTCTCAAACTCCTGACCCCCGTGATCTGGCCACCTCCCAAAGTGCTCAGATTATAGGCATGAGCCACGGCGCCTGGCCCCATGGTGCTGTTAAGTACACACATAAATATCCAGAAGCAATATGCGGAGTGATTTTTAACTCTCCTGAGATGAAATATTTCCATCTTTTCTGGTTTTGTGGGTTTCTTGGTGTGGTGTTGAGAATTCTTTCCACACACCAAGGCTGTAAGGCTGTTCTGTGAGTTCAGCTTTTTCCTGTTCTGTGTAAGACTCGTGTACAGAGTAAGGTAGAAATCTTAACTGCATCTTACCCACCCAGACAAGCAGTTACTCTTCTTCCCTGCCTCACTCCTGCACCTATGGGGCGAGGCTTTGCCTGGCAGGACGTGACCTGCCCTGAACACATTTCCTCTAAGCTACTGTTCAGCAGGTCTTGCACCATGGCTTTCCTCCAGAGATTTTAGGATCGCCTTCTGTTCCCCTCTCAAAGAGTCCAGTTAGGATTTTCAGTTGCACTGAATTTATGGACTTGGTTGGCATGTTGGCATCCTTGTCCATGAATATGGTACCGAACTATGAAATCATTGTCATTTGTGATCATTTGGGACTAGATTTGGTTTCAGCTATCACATAGGTTTTGGGGGCTGTTTCCAAAAACCATTGTAGCTTACAAAGCTTTATGATTTTTTTAATCTATGGTTATTCCTTAGATCATAGGAATCACAGATGATCAAACCTTCTGCAAATACAAGTTTTGGTTCTTTCCTTTTGAATTTGTCTTGTCACTCCAGTGCTGCTGAAGACAGGCACGGGTAGGGCCCTTATCTGTGAAACTGTAAAGCATCCCGTGAGAGGGAAGGCTCCCGTTCGCAGAGTTGTTGCTGCTTTGATTTTTTCTGGCTGTTGCTCCGTCCTTGCTGGATGTGTGATTTGCGTTCTTTACTTTGTTGTTCTGTGTTATCCAGACTGTTGTCACCTTCGCTGTTTGTCAGTCTCTGAAACACTCTGCATAAAATAGGGACTTAAATGTTTGGAGTCACTCTGTTAAAATTAGGCCTGGTATCTTCTGATAGAGCAGAGACTATTTTACTAAATAAATCTGTGTTCTAAGTTTATTCTGGCCTTTTTCCAACAGTCTCCAAAAAAAAAAAAAAAAAAAAAAAAAACAGGCTTTCAGTTTAAGGATGCATTTTTAGGCCATAAAATGTTTTCCTAATCTGTATCAAATTGCCTTTAGGCCCTGGCTCCTTGGTCGTTATTCCCGTGGGTTGGATCTAATTTAGTCATGTTTATGTGCTGGTACGACAATTCAAAGGCCTGGGACCATTGTGGCCCACAGGAGAGGCCTTTGCTGGCTGCACTGGTGAGGGCTTTTGGGTACTACGGGGCAGTGTGTGAAGGAGAGAGCACTCACCAGGCCTTGGGGCCCCTGCACACAGACGACACATCACCATCTCTGGTCTTTTCAGAGCAAAATCTGGAGCGGCAGGTGTTGCAGACGCAATGCAGACGACTGGAGGCCCGGCACTACAGTCTCAGCCTGACGGCAGAGCAGCTCTCCCACAGTGTGGCGGTGAGTTGGGAAGGTGGGAAGGCACAGAAACCTTAAAACACACAGCCTTTTGAGTTTGGGTTCAAAAGCACCCATGAAGGTAAGTTTTAGAGATGTAATGTGCTCTTGAGAGCAAAATTTGGACTGTGTGCAATGGCTCACTCCTTTAAGCCCAGCACTTGGGGAGGCTGAGGCAGGAGGACCACAAGAGTTCAAGGCTGCAGTCGGCTATCATCATGCCACTGCACTCCAGCCAGGGTACCAGAGCAAGAGCACTGTTTCTTAGTTTTGATTTTTTTTTTAAGGGGAAAATTCAGGCAGCAGTTGACTATCTAGGATTTAGCTGTAAGTAGGGAAATAACCTTTAACTTACAGCATGTTGATCTTGGAAGGGTAGGGATGCTGTTTGCAGAATGAATTACTGCCTGTCCCAGTCTCCCCTGCTGTGATGTGCACTTCAGGGGTGGGCAGCAGGGAGCTGTATTAGAGAAGGAACGTTGAAGTACCTGAAACCGTCTCACCACCCCTTAGCTCATAGCCGCACTGGCAGGACTGGTCCAGCAGATGTCCTTGCTTGGCAAAGAGGTCTCCGATCCCTCCCAAAGTTTTTACATCTGGGGGTTCCAAGAACTCCGAGTTTGAGTCAAGACAGCAGCAGACACCGATTCTCTAGGACTCTGTAAGAGCTCAGCAGAGAACATAGGCTGAGAAGGGGGACTTTGTAAGTCTTGCTCTGTTGCCCAAGCTGGAGCCTCAATCTCCTAACTCCAGGTGATCCACCCGCCTCAGGACATGAGCCACCACTCCCAGCCAAGACATTTCCTTTCCTTCCACCATGTTTGGGTACCACATGCTTGTTTTTACAGAAAAAACGGGTTGGTTTTGACACAGATTTCCCTCTCTCCAGGAGTTGAGGAGCCAGAAACAGAAGATGGTCTCAGAACGCGAGCGGCTCCAGGCAGAACTGGACCACTTACGAAAGTGCCTTGCCTTGCCTGCAATGCACTGGCCTAGGGGCTACCTGAAGGGATACCCCAGGTGACGGTTTCCCTTGCACTAGGCCGAACCTATAGTATAGAAATATTATCTATTTTATTACCTTGAATATTTAATATTTTTCACTGGGAGGTTTGAAGCTTAAAAAATGAGAATGTGCCATGCATGAAGCAAAGGATTCCAGGCTCCAGAAAAAAAAAGAATGAACTCACCTTGACTTCATTGCAACTGAATCACCTTTGTCATTCAGCGAGCAACCAACGTAGGATGCCATAGTTTCTTTTTACAGGCGGTTTTAGTTCTTCCTCTCCCACATTGTTTTTTAATCTGAACATGAAGGCTTCATTACCAACACTAAAACTTTATGATTTACAGCCCCCTGTGCATATGAGCGGATCACACCGGTTCTGTTCTTTCTTGTGTTGCCACGTTACTATGCCTCAAGCCAAGTCTGCTTTTGCGGCAGTGATGGGGTCAGTCTCATTCCTCCCCAGGAGTGAAACTTGCTTCACTGTAAAGAAGGTTGGGTGCATTGTAAGTAAAAAGGGCTTATTTGTTTCATTTACGTTCCTGCAAAATTTTCTTCAAAGCAACAAGTCCTAGGAGCACACAAAGCAACCCAAAGGCTTTTCCCTGGAAAAGCTCTTACCTAAAGAGAAAATGAAATCACAAACTGAAGGTACCTTTTTATTACTCCGTGGGGAGCATGTACAGAGCTCTGTGGATACACAGCTTCACACCCACCAGATTGTTACTACAGTGGGTGGGGTTTTCATACAGACGTAAATTTTGAGAGAAAAGTCAAAGGTGCTTCAGCCTTGTACTGTGTATATATATTAAAAAACAAAGTTTTGTATGTTTTTATTACTTTAACTATTGTTATAAAAAGCCTGCCATTTTTAATATGTGGTTTGGGGGATTTTTGTTTGTTTTTTCCTGTTGGGGGTTTTGTTTGTTGTTTTGTTTTTTTTGGGCAAAAAAAAAAACCCCTTGCTTTTAGTGTTTGTACTGCTGCTGGTCAGGACATTAAAATATTGAAGTGTTTTTAAAAATTAAAGAAGAAGCAAAGTAAAAGAGCTTACCACTGGCGCCTGTGCGATCACTTCATTTTTAGCCTGAGTTGCACCAGAAGCTACCGTAGAAAGCCATGGGCCCCTGCTTACCTCCTCCACTCCCCCTTCCCCACCCCCAGCATCAGGACAAGCTAGTATCACCCACTGCTATCAAGGGGAGGGGGTAATCTGCAGAACCTGTGTGTGACAACCATGTGCACGCATGGGCAGAGGCTTTTAAAAGCCTTGGAGAAACGAAATGATTTCTGCGATAGAATTCTAAGGTGTCTGAGAGCAGGTACAGAATATGAACGGCAGAGGCTTTAAACGCAAAGCTTTGTAAAAGCCTAAAGTAGGGCAAACAAGGCCTGAGCTGAACCCCTCATTTTTGAACTTACTGTGACAAGCAGAGGAACGGCCAGAACCTGGGCTCCTCACCCCAAGGCAAAGCACTAGGCGCATCCTTCTCCCAGCTGCTGCTTGTGGTGGTACTGTGGAGATCACAAAGGCATCTCTTGTTCTCGTGGGCCCTCACCAGAGGCCAGGGCTGCCACTGACTGGTCCAGGGGTGGAGTCCTGAGCTCCGGGCAGGGTGCCTGACCTGTGTGCTGGCTGTTCCGCGCGGAGACCAGCAGCCAAGCCCTTGGCCCCAGCCCTTGCTGTGCAGAACAGCTTGCTGGCAGCCTGTCACTTTATCTGCCCCCACACAGTTTGCTTTGTAAGTCTGCCAAGAATCTTCCAGTTATTAGCAAACTCAAATAAATGTACCACCAGTATGAGTAGCAGTCAGCAAGCACCTTGCTCTGCACAGAAGCAGCTGGAAGAGAACTCGGACTGTGCTACATGTAGGCCTCCCCCCAAAAGACCACGGGGAGGTCAGCATGTTCCACAGGTGTTCAGAGGGAGTCCGCTACCAACAATCAGGACAAAATCTTACTGGATTTCTCCACTGAAAACCTGCTTGAGGTTTCTGGTCTGAAGGCTTAGGAGTCACACCTTAGCACTTCCACTCTCAGGCCTCCCCCTCCATCACAGATGTCTCAATGCTTTTGCTACTTAGCTTTGTTAAGGGTCTTGGCTGAACTAAAAGGGAAACACAGATCCGATAACTTAAAAACACAGCCCATCCCTTACCATCCAAGGAGCGCTCCCTTGGTTGCCTTTTCTGTGACAGCACAGGGGGCAGGTGGCACACTCAGAGGTCTGCCCGGGGAGGAGAGCAGTGTCCCTGTAGCTAGCAATAGCTGCCTTCTGCCCAGCCCTTAAGCTTCTCTCCTACTGTCTCCCCATCCTTCCACCTACTATGGTGATCTCCAAGTACTCTTACTCAAGTAATACGACAATCAGAATACAAACCAGTAAGACAACACAAATCAGCTAAGAAAAAGCTAAGAAGCCTCTCTCAAAAATGAAAGCACACCACTAAGACACAGCACCCAGTCACGGCTCTCCCATCCGCCAATTACTTCCATACTTCGCAAACTTGCTCAACACAGTAGAATCCAAATCTCTTTTCAGTTGGGCTCTGAAGCTTTTTGTTCAGCTCTTTTGTGTTGAGTACGTCAAATCCACTCTGGAGCGGATTATGCCACTTGTGTGTCAGGCTGTCCATGAAGCCCTCAGCTTGGTCCCTTTGACCATCTTCCTCTGTTACCTGGAAGGCAGCTGCCATCTATCCTCCACAGAGGGATACCTTCTAATAGTCAATTAGCTGGTTTCTCGTTGAAACCATTTATTACTCTTGTTTCATATAATCAGAGCCAGACTGACACAAGATACCATGTTCCTAATCCAATGTCTCAGATATGCGAACGAGACAGTCTTGTCCACGCTGTAGTCTATATTCTAACCGTAACGGAACAAAGCACTGAATCGGCACTAACATTTGGATAGGTTGTACCCCTAAGAGAATTCAGAGAGTATCTCAAGGAGCCCACACCTGCAGCAGCAAAGGATTCTGACACACGGAATCCACAGTTTGTAGCCGAATGGTATTTTCTTCAAGCTCATAATACTGCCAAATCTCAAAAATTAAGCTGAATTTCAAACCAGATACTCCCCTTTCCCTGAGCCACATGTTTCACCCAAGTGTAGAAAATTCCAGGGATCCACCACAAGATGGAGATGGTCAACACAACCGATTCTGTTGCTCTTTCAACTGTGTATTAGCCACTTAGCAGTCTCTATACTCTTTCAAGTAACCAAGCTGTTGACTTTCTTACTACTTGCAGTAGCCTGTCCCCAACTTTTCAATGCAGTGCTTAACCTAAAAAAACTCCTTAAACTCTGCCTTGACCTGAGGAAGACCATGCTCATTGGTGTTGTTTTGTACGTACCCTGTGCTTAATTCTAGAACAGTAAACCCATACGCAGGTGGGAGGGAGGAACACCGGTGCCTCGGTCACTCTGGGGGCAGTTTAGATGCTGTGAAATTAAACCTGTTCTAAGTGTACTTGTTTGAATTAATTGTATTGTAATATTATTTGTTGAATGTAGTAATTAGGTATTTATGAATATATTGCTGTAATTTCTGACAACATCCAAAAAATAAAATCTTCCTAAATCATGTTAAGAGGAAAATCTTTTTTATGATATAATAAAACAAGGCCAAACAATAAAAAGTTCAACAGCTATAGAGCTCCACAGGTAAAACACGCAGACAGATGCAGCTGCCTCGACTGGCTCAGGTTTTAAGAGCAGGGCATTAGGATCCCTCGCCCTCCACAACAAGTGGTGTCATTTGCAAAGATTTCCAGGTGAAAGCTGGAGAATTCCCAGGAAGGGTGAAATGAAACAAGTCCTATGACCTGAATGAACTCTGGACAGCACCTAAAATTACGGAGACCTCATCTTCTGGCCCCCACTCTTCCAGGTCTGACCCTTCAGGGTCCGAATAACAACCAACACCTGCCTGGCGGGGACACGTGGGCAGCAACATGGAGCAGTAGTGCACAGGCACACTGCACACTGGAAGAGGGCAGACCCTGGGCGGTCTTTAGGCTTAGCCTGTCACACATGTGCGTTCTCAGAGCTCTCCAGACTGCACCCAGCCAAAAATAAGCCAGACATGGTAGCTATTGCTTGGGACCCCAGTGCTTTGGGAGGTGAAGTGTGGAGGATTGCTTGAATCCAGGAGTTCGAAGCTGCAGTTAGCTACGATCACGCCACTCGACTGCAGCCTGGGTAAAAGAATGAGACCCCGTCTCAAAGTTTCTTTTCAAGCCAGTTGCAGAACCGTCTATCCATTGCATGATGCTGGACAACTTCACCTCTCAAGGTAATGTAATTTCTACCAAGGACCTAGCAGTTCCAAAATGCTGCAAATAATTTTCTCTTAGGGAAAAAATAATTTCCCCTGAGCCCACGGTTACCTACAACAAAGAGTCCTTTCCTGGCCCAGCACGGTGGCTCACACCTATAACCCCAGCACTTTGGGAGGCCGAGGCAGGTGGATCACAAGGTCAGGAGCTGTAGACTAGTCTGGCCAAAATGGTGAAACCACATCTCTACTAAAAATACAGAAAAACCAGCTAGGCAGCACCTGTAATCCCCGCTATTCAGGAGGCTGAGGCAGAGCAGCACTTGAACACTGGAGACAGAGGTTGCAGTGAGCTCACCCTGCGCCACTGCATGACTCTGTCTTAAAAAAAAAGTCCTAAGTCCATGAAAAGCAGCGTTAAAAGTCTGCTTTTCTTCTACCATTGTCTTAAGTGTCACTCGTGCTTAATACATCGGATTGTATTTTCCTGACTGTCCTCTTAAACCTGAGCCACACATAGCCCAGGGCATGAGACACCCAGGTATTGGTCTGCAGTTTCCAGTGGACTGCTGTGCACCTCGGTTTAGTTGACTGGGTCATCTCAGCCACAGGGCTGTCCTTTGACTTGGTAGTTATGCAGGACAAAAACTTAAGAGTCAGAGCCAAGTCCATTTTTATTGTGGGACCGGGCTCATTTTGGTCAGCAGCCTTAGCTGCACCATCTGCCATCCTCTGGGAGCCACCTCTATGGAAGAGTCTAAATTTAGCCCACGAAAATTAGGATCAAAAAGGGGGGAAAAAAGCCCTTGGCCACATGGCGCTCCTGCTGTATTTACACCTAACAGTCACTGAACATTTACCCAAGTGTGGCGGTTTCTACGCAGGAGACCCAAGTGGCCCTGCTAGAGAGAATAACTTACTTGCCTAAAGCTTTTTTCTTCCTCAAAAGGGGGCGGGGGAGAAAGGCTAGTTTCTAGAATCAGATGTGGAATTGAAGACTGTCCCAGGGAGCTAAGTTTTAACGACAAATCACAAACTTGCTTCTCCAGCAATATCACGAATCCATTCCTTGCACCTTCACACGTTTTTCATGCATTCAAAAGTTATTTCCAGAGCCAGAACCACAAGTACCTCATGTCCTGAGCACTCACATGCCCCAGTAAGCCGCCTGCACCAGGCCTTTCTCTAGAAGTCCTGAGACTGGGTACTCTCCGAAGGCTGGAGGTTTGTGCGTAGTTTGTACATGTGGTTCAGCGCTTGTGTGAGGAAAGTCCCGCTGGTGTTGATCTCCATCAAGGTCAAGTTATCCAGCTAAAACAAGAAAACAGACCAAGCTGGCAAACGAGTTTTTGATTTTGAGAAAAAGGCAAACTCTACAGAATAAAAATAAGAAACCAATGAACCTTTTAAAAAGCACAGTAGTAATGCATGCCTACAGTAGCCTCAGCAGACAGGATGCCATGTGAAATTCTGCGACATCAAGGCCACCGGCACTCAGGCGAGGTGGCACCTACCTTGGCATGTGCCTCCTGCTGTCTCACAAAGCTGTCAGCAGACACTCGGAGTTTGGCTATACGAGTGTCCCACATGTCCTTGACGAGGGTCCGGATTTCGTCTGCCTTCGGGATGTTATCTGAAGCACTGAAGGAGCAAGGGGGAGAGTCAGCCAGGGGACACTCCATTGACTGGGGCAACGCTGGGTAGAGTGGCTCTTTCCAGGCAAAATACTCCGGCGATTCCAAACCCACAAAGTCTGTTTTGCT